AAAGTAACACCATGATTGTTCCTTAGACTGCATCCACCTATACAACCAAACTTTAATCATAAAGGAAAAGAAAGATAACGGCAGTAAAAGCAAACCAAGATAATCTCAACCACTGAAAAACGTAAAACTACAGCAAAACATTTGTTTGAAAATAATAAAAAAAAAATTCTGTGATGGTCTCAGTTTTATAACTGGAGCTGTTTCATCTGGTCTCTCCAGCTCTGCAGTGAAATGCTAAAATGAGGGAAATGTGTAAAATACAAACAAACCACCAGCAACTGATGAAGCAGAACGCACGTGTTGCCATGGTAACTCATAGTCAATAAACCTGAGTATTTGTGGGTGGACTGCTGTGGTTGGTGCAGTTGTTTACATTGTAATTTACATTTAATGAAGCTTTATCTTAATTTTATAACAAAATCTGACTTAATTTGCTTTGTTTAGAAGAGAAAGGCAGTATTTATAATATCACCTCCTTACAAATTGAAATGTTTAAATTTAAATATTTACCAGAAAGATATTCTGATGCAGTCTTGCTCAGTGAAAGAAGAGACGTTCATGTTTTTACAGCCTTCTGTCTCTGGGGGCAAAATTTGGTCTAAATCCTTAACAAATGATCAATAATCAGCAGGAGTTCTGACTGCGGTCTGGAGTTTTATCAAAAGCTTCGTCACCGTTTCAAATCCCCTTTCCGTTTTTCTTTTATTTCAGGAATAAAATGTTGACTAATGTTGAGAACATCTGAATATTCCTTAGTGAAACTGGAAAAAAAAAACTAAAGATAAATAAGTGTTTTACGAATGGCATTAAAGTTGTAGAGCTGATTTAGATTTTGAGTCTGATTAAATGTGCCTCTGCTCTTGTTGGAAGGGTTTTGAAAGATCTGTTGGTCTGATGGAGGGCGGTCTCACCAGAGAACGGCTCGGTGTCTGTAAAAAGAAACTTAACCAGGCAACTGGGTTGGAAAAGTTTAAGTCAACAATTTACAGTACTTAGTTACTCAGCTGCATCTCGTATTAACCGTGTCCAGATAAGAATGCAGCTACTTAGTGGGATTTTAGTTTCTCTGTAGTTCTGGCTTAATCTGCTGGCCCTTTGCTCCTATTTGCTCAAACCTCTGATAGCCCGCTGTGTGACGTTGGAGGAAAGCCAAAGAGAGACCTAAAAAGGAAAGCGGAGGAACTGAAAGAAAGATCATTTCAACCATGTTGCCAGCTGTCGTTTGTCATCTTTATGCATTGTTCCTCCCCCTGTAGCTGATTCAGTAATAGTTCTGTACTTCGTCCTCAGTCTGAAGACCTCAAAGAGAACTTCCAGGACTGTCTGGCTCTGATTGGCTCAGACTGCTGTCAGTCAGGCAGTTTCTGATGAAAGCTGCAGTCGCCTGAAGGCCGTTCTGTTCCTTTCTTTTGGTTTTCTTCAGTAGGATGTTGTGGGTACAGAAAGCCGGAGCAGCCCCCATCTTGTAGCTCCGCCCACTTTTTTTGCATGACCTCACGCAGCCCCCTCCCTCCTCCTTCCAAAGGAAGTGCTGCTCTCCCACTGTTCAGGATTCCTGGGAAAGCGGGCAGTGAGCAGAGCATGAGCTCATTGCCTTTGCCACAGTCGGCAGTCTGCTGGAATGTTGTGTCATCCTGTTAAATGTGTGTTTCTCCTCTCTCAGCTGCCCCATAATCGGAGGATTTTTAAAAGTTGCACTCTCTGAGGCTGTCTGAGACACCTGCAGTCACATTGATTTTTACTCAGTTAGTTAATCTGCACGAGACAAAGAGGTTTTAAGTGCCTTTTCCCCTCCAGTACACCACACATCTAACATGAGAGAGTTTACACCGGCTCAGCTAAATGACCGCGTCTGTCTCTGGGATCACTGGAGAAGATTGTTGGGTTTTTACCTCTCAGTGGAGGCGAAACAGGAAAAAAGGTTCTGCGTCTTTCTCCTTAGAGTTTGTTCCCTACTAGGTTTTTCAAACAAATGGACACACTCAGTTCATGCAGCTTCCTCAGTGACGACAAGACACAAAACCAGATAAGCAGAAGGCATCCAGCTGCATCGGTCAGCTCCCAAATTAGCTACAAACTTCCTGATCCACTCCTCAGTGAGACGCAAACATCACTCAAGAGGATGTTGATTAACATGGTTTGGTTTTAAAAAAAGGACCCCACACTCTTCTTTCAAGACTTTTAGTTTGATAACTTTGAGAAGAGAAAATTCTGACAGTAGACACTGTTTTACCCCAAATTACAATAACATGAAAAGCTTTTTCAGTAGAACCGCTGCTCCTCCGGATCGAAAGGAGTCAGTTGAGGTGGTTTGGGCATCTGGTCAGGATGCCTCCTGGACGCCTCCCTGGGGAGGTGTTTCGGGCATGTCCTCTCCGAGTTGGAGATGTTACATCTCCAATCTGGTCCGGGAACGCCTTGGGGTCCTGCCGGAGGAGCTGGGGGAGGTAGCCGGGAAGAGGACGGTCTGGAGATCCCTACTTGGGATGCTGCCCCCGCGACCCGGACCCGAATAACCGGAGGAAGACTACGATGGCGGCTTTTTCAGAAAATAAAGTTCCATAAGTCATGAAATCAAGAAAACTGGAGCATAAATACAGTTTGATAATAGTTCTGAATAAAGATGTTATTGCTGTATACTCTAAAAGAAATGGATTTGACATTGATTATTTGGGGTTTCCTATAAAATGAAAACTATGTTAATTAAAGAGCAAGTCACCCCCAAATCAACTTTTTTTCCTGACAAACTATATAAATGTGCGTCTAATCGTACTGCAGACTCGTGTAGTCAATAGTTTTCACACTTACGTGCATTTTAGTTAAAATTTAAATTTTCTGCCTAAAACTGTCAGTGTTATACCATTGTCAGGTAAAAACTCTGCACTGCATTTGAATTTAAATCTGCCATCGCTATTGGCTAAGAGGCACCCTAGAAAGTTAGCTGGTACCATATGATGTCACAATGTCGTTGTGAGCCTGTGTGTGTGTATTTGTCAGCTGCTCCGCCCTCTCGGTCTGCTAGGCAACAGCACTGGTTGCATTTTTCAAACAGAAAGTGGGAGTGGAGTAATACTTTGGTAGGGGTTGACTTGCTCTTTAGCAAATCTTTCAAAAAGAAGCAAAGCCACTTCATATTTAAATTAAGAAACATTTTAGATTTATTACAGCATCAGATATGTCTAAAGTTTACATAATCAAATTATTTCCTTCAGTTTACAAAAAGTTTGATACAAAAACATAAATAAAATCCTGGGTTTTAAACATAAGCATACATTTTAAGTTCTACAAATATGAGTTACTATTCTGTCACGCTGAGAGCAGGAGGTTTGGACCCAAGGTGCAGGAAATCCAGAACACACAGGCAGGAGCGGTTGAAAAGTAAAAATCCAAGGGGCAAAGGCAAAAACCCAATAACTAAACTAAGACCAAAATCCGAAAGCTCGCCTTCTGAGCAGAGACCTAAAGACTGAAACTAGAGACTAAAGACTGGAGACTGGTGACAAAACAACGCTGACCAAGACAATGAACCAACAACCACAGAGTGACAAGACAAGGCTTATAAACACAGAGGGAGGTAATTAAGGAAAATGGCAGCAGGTGTGTGGAGTGAGGGCTGGAGGGAAGACAGGTGAATATAATTATCTAAATGGGAAAACAGAAACAGAGGAGGGCAAATAAACCTAAACCTAAAGACAGAGGGAAGGGCTCACACACACACAGACACACACATAAACTCACACACACATACATACACTAATACACTCATATACTGAGCTGGGGAACAAGAGGCTGGAGCTACAACTGGAGGGGCTGAGGATGACTAAATGAACACCGGACCTGAGGGAATGATATGAAGGCCTACAAACAGAAGGCACATAAATGAGATGCAGACAAAGGACACATGAGGGCGCTATGAGACAGAAGGGAATCTTGAGAGGGATGGAGAAACATCAGGAGACACATGAAGGAAGACGCAGATGCAGATCATGAGGGAGAGAGAGGAGGGAACAAACAAAACACAACCCAAAGAGAACGATAATGTGCACATGTGCACGAGGACTGACCAATCATAAACCGTTTTCGGCCGGGCTGATTCGCCGAGGATAAAGGTACAGTTGCAGAGCTGGAGACCGCCGATTTACGTCTGCTGCTGCTCCAGGCTCACGCTTCTACTAGAGACGGCGCAGGCGTCAACCTGCGATCTCTGGTTCTGCAGCCGTCAGACACTTTGGCTTTTCCTGCATTTGGCAAATGAAGTCAACGGGAGTTTCAACTACCGTCCCGTTTACACACGCAGCTCTGTGGCTCATCTGAATTTCCTTCAGTGACACAGGGATGGTTATACCATGAGACACCTGCTCCCTTTTGCTCGGTGCACCGTTATTATCACAATGGAGAGAAAACACAAACTAGGAGGTGTAAAAAAACTGCTTTTTAGGAAAATGTCTGTGAGAATGAAGAGAGCAGGAGGTCTGAGTTAAATCCTACAACAGCACTGATTGGATCACCACACCAGACACTTTTGGAATTAATTGTACATATCAAAGCAATTTGGGCCATTTTAATCATACTAATTAATAACTTTAACACATAATATAGTTTTTATTTCCCTCCCTTTTAGTCCTATACATATATATCTTTTAGATGCTATCGGGAAAATGAACGCCAATGTGGCGTGATGATGTCAGCAAAATGTAAATTAGCACGTGGCGTCATCTGGCGACATCTAGCGACTTTTGGGGGGAAACTTCAGCTACTTTCAGTAAAAAACAGTTGGCAACACTGAAAGCAGGTAAAGAGCGCCCCCTAGGACACCTACTCGTTCCACAAAACTATCTAGTGTCATTTTGGGTCAGCAGAGGGCTGCAGAGTAGTGTCAAATATGAAACTGGTCAAGCTTCTGACTCAACATTCACTGAGATCAGTGTTACAGCTCTAGCTTAATTTTAAAACCATATCTGTTGTTACTTTAAACTGTTTTATGTGTATTTATTTTTTAGATGAAAGCAGAAGAAATGGAGTCGGTTCATTGTTATCAGAGACGGCTTCGCTGGCTGAACAAACCGAAGTAAGTCAAGTACCCATAATCCTAATTTCATTCACTAGAGGGGAGGGTTAAATATAGAATGGTGACAGAGGTGAAAGAATGTGATGTTTTTCTACGATGTAGAGTAAATATGAGGTTGTGTTTTCATTCAGGAGCTGAAGGACGGCTTTCTTATATCTAGAGGAAAACTGCTTGTTTGGGCTGAATAAAAAATGATTCTTGTTGTTGTTTTAATGTAATAAACAACAGTTTGTTTTGTCAGGATGTTGAAACTTCCGGTATCCCTGCTGGTTGCTTAGCAACACCACAGTCACAACAACATTGCTGCCCTCATTTCTTTCTGAATCGGCTTCACCAGCAGAGAGGGTGGAGCAGGTTGAAGACACCTGATCTTTGTGGTTTTTTTCTAACTCATCTTGATCTTTTATTATTCTAAATTCTAAAAGTGATGCTGAAGTTTCTAGGTTCTAATTTATTACGCTTTCTTAGCCATCGTCTTGTTTCTTCATACGTCTTTAGCAGTTTAAACAGCCTGAGCCTGTTTTTTAATTCTTTACTCTAATTGCTGAGTCACAAGACTCATGGTTCTCAAAGAGCTCCTCTCATGTCTTCAGCAGTGAGACTAAATAAATAAAGAAATAAAACCCAGCAGACTGTGTTCTGTCTGCCTGGTTTTCCTCTGCTGTGTGCAGGAATGCAGAAGAAGGTTTTTAACACTAATGATAAAAATCTAAATTATAGTGTATATACTTTAATTATTAGTACGTTAAAAATCCATTCATTGTGGAACTAGAAATCAAAAAAAAAAAAAAAAGGTTTTGTGTCTAATGTGATGTTGGAATTAGCTTTTTTTGATTGCTGCGTTTCTGCCACTTGTTCTGCCCTAAAGTGAGAACAGAGACTATTTAGCAGCTTACTGACCTCTAGCCATCAGCCACGGGCATGTGCTGACAGACGTTTCCTAACTGGAGAGTGAGCACAACTCATCCTAGACTGTCATGTGGTGGAAAATGAAAACAAATTCTGACAGATTACAACGCAAAATCTGTGACAAGAAGCATAGTTTAAAAGGAGACTTTGAAGTTTTGGCTTGCTTCTAGCACCCTCTAGTGTCCAGTTAGTAAACCCAAAAGTGAAACCTTCCCCACTAGCATCGGCTCCGCATGGTCTGGATAGCAGAGAGAGAGTCCACGTTAGCATAGCCTGTCTTTTCTCAGGGTGCAACAGGACTGCTTTTCAGCCCTCTTCCTGAAGTGGTTTGCTTCCGGCTGACGAGGGCCGACACACCCGCTGCTGACTGACAGGCTGGCTAAAATTGACGCCTCTCATTAGGGGGAGCCTCCAATTTGTGGGTAGAATCAGCCCAGTGGACTTACAGCATGTGCAATTCATTATCACACTCAATTCCTAGGAGGAGAGAAGGTCTCTGGCCCAATCTCAATACTTGCACTGCGCTCTGCGGTCTACAGCAAAGTGCACTTTGAGAAAGTGTGCAGTAAGGCTTCGAGTTCGCCATACAAGTGTGCAAATAAAAGCCGAATTTAGACAGGGAGCATAGCGTCATCGACCGCAGTGCATACCGGGATGCTGGTTGCTGTGATAAATGTTTTAAAAACATTTATTAACAACTTTCAAACAAACAACCAAGAAATTATTTGAAATTCATTTATATTCATTACTGTTTGGTCTAAAAGTTTCAGCGCATCAACTAATCATCCTAAAAGGAACTCCTTTCATTAGAAAATACACATTTTCAGAAAAGGAACTTGAGCCTTTTCTCCCACAGCAATGGATTGTGGGTAATACATTGCACTCAAGTCTGCATCGATGCAGACTTGAGTGCAAAAGGGGTGTGATTAACTTCTGCACTTGAGAATCAGGACACCCTACGCACTCGCACCCCTGGTCGGGATCGCGCAATTGAAGGACGCAAGGGTGGAATCAACTGGGGCTGGCTGGGGTTATCCGGGCGGTTTGGGGCCGATGTTAGTGGGGAAGGCCCATTGTTTCTTTGCTGTGTGTTAGTCTCTTAACACCTTAATATAATTACTGAAATGTCTTTATTGGTCTTTGTCAGGACAAAAAAAAATGTTTGGTGGTCTTCTTACTTCCTAGTATAATCAATTTCAGCCGCCTCAGTTAAGCTGGCAGGAAGTCACATGACTGGCCATGTGACTTCAGAGAATGAAAATACCAATAGTAGCAATAAAGTATAAAACTAAGTAATCAACAACAAAGCAAGAGAATAAAAGACTGTTGCAAGATAACCGAGCTGAAATAATGAGAAAACAAGGCAGTTACAAAAAGGGAGTCACTCTGTTTTCTGACATTTTCTTTTCTTTTGTCTTCCTGCAGACAGACAAGCTGCAGCCAAACAGAGACACGGTGTTCTTCAGGGACGGAGTACGCAGAATAGACTTTGTCTTGTCCTACATAGACGACAAAGATGAGAGAAAACAGGTAACAAAAAAGTCACACGAGGATTTTCAAACAAGTATTTTTTTTACCACTCTGCACTTTTAGATGCAGCTGACGGTATTACACAATCTGTACCCAGAAAAGGAACAAAGAAAATCTGTGATGTGTTTCAGTTTTTGAAGTCATGTGAGGTCTGTGATAAAATACGAATGTTAAAATTTCAACAGAACAACCCTGACTTTACTTTGTGAAGAGTCTTCGCAGGCTTGGCCACGATTGGTGCCGACCAATCGCAGCGTTTATTGAGATAAGGGATCTATAGTTTAACGTTTTTTAGGTTTTCTTCTGCGACGTAATGACGGACTGCCCAGTTGACTGACATCCAAAGCGGTATATCAGCCAGGTGGGCGGGATGTTACTGAAAGCCAAGATGGCCAAAATTCTGTAGCAATCCAATCATAGCTCTATTGGTTTGGTGGGCCAATCACAGCACTTGGTAGACGGCAGGTCAGTGACTGCTCGTTTGAAACGGCTTTGGCTTCAACTCAGGATTTTTTTGATTTGGGCTTTTCTTTGAGTGAAGCGCAGATAGAGACACTTAAGTTTATTTAGAAAAAGGATCTATTTGCACTTTTTTGATGGAGTATGGTGGAACTGCCTCGTTGACTGACATCTGTAGCGGTGAGTATGTCACGTTGTTTGTTATCCAATAGCATGTGGGGACAGTTTGAAAGAAAACGGTAGATCCCGCCCCATAATTAAGAGCTGTTAATGGACTGACTACAGTAAATCAAACTTATATAGGTTGGCTTGCCAGGCTAGGATAAAACACTATAAGCTGTAGAAATCACCTCATTAATACTTGGATGTGTGAAAGACCAGAAAACAAAGATGTTTTAAATTATGCACTCATTGCTTTTTCTTTCCTTTTTAAAGCTACCATGAAAATTTATAAAACAGTTTTTTCTTGTCTCTTAACAACATTCCAATATGCGTTATTATTATTATTATTATTATTATTGATAAATGACCCTCGCTTGTGTAGCGCCTTTCAGAGTCAGAGGACTTCAAAGCGCTTTACGCTACAGTTTATCATTCACACACTGGTGGTGATGAGCTACGGCAGGGGTGGGCAATTATTTTTTCCATGGGGCCACATGAGAAATAGAAAATATTGTGGAGGGCCAGGCCAAAAGGCTGAAGTCAATTATGCATAATATTAATGGTATTTCTTTATAAAAAGCAGTAAATACCATCGTTTTTTCAAGCTGGTAAGAGTAGACTAAATGTTATGAATGAGCAAAAAGGAAAAAGTGAGGTTGTCTTACAAAAATGTGATTTATTCAAATTTCCCAAGGCAATGGTAAACAAAGTGTGCACATTTGGTTTTTGTTAAACATTTGTGACTTATATTAGTTAACAGTTTCAGTCACATTCACTCCAAAACACATTCTGAGTTTCAAATATTGTTGGAAAGAGGTTCTTAGCATTCTACAGACACACAGTATTGTCTGTAAAATAAAATCACTGAACTGTGATCTTGAGAAAGAGGTTTAAAAAAAAGTGTCCCAGTTCACTGCTAGTTGCCTACATTTGTGGTCCAAACACCTTATTTTGTGTTTTTAAGCAATTTTTTTCTTATTCAGTGAGAGAAATCTAGTCTCTGCTGGGCTTTAACGAGTGCATCAAAGTCAGGTTGAATGTCTGAGGTGGAGATGCGAAGCACAGCTGACACATGATCATCAGTGAGAGAGGATCTTTACCTGGATTTTGTAAACTTAATCATTGAAAATGCTTGTTCACAAATGTAGGTAGAGCCGAAGAGAACCAACATCTTCTGAGCACGTCTCCTCAGGTTTGGAAAGTCCTCCTTAAGAGAAGAGTAGAAATCCAGCAGAGATCCTGAATCTCTGCTTTCGAGTCCCAAACCCTCTTCAGCACTTTCCCCAGGCTGAGCCATCTGACAGCTGTGTGGAGTCCTCCACAAGAGCCACAAACTGTCTGTGATTCATGGCCCGCGCCCTGATGAAGTTTATTATTTTAGTAACAACATCAGTAACATGGTTGATTTTTAGCACTGACTTGCACAACACATGTTGGTGTATAATACAATGCAAAAACACCTATTTTTGATCTGCATCGATTTCTGTCACTTTATCTTGCATACGTTTCAAAAGTCCGACATTTTTCCCTGTAAGATTTGGACAACCGTCTGTTGTGACACCTGACAGTCTCTCCCCTTTCAATCCCAGAGTGTCCGTGCACGCATTTACCTCTGTAAAAAGATCACTCCCTGTCGTTGTCCCTTTCATCGACCGCATTGCTGCCAGCTCCTCTGTGAGCTCCGTTATCCCCGGACAAATACGAGCAGCTGGGCTGTGTCCCGGACATCACAGCTCCCGTCTAATGAGAAAAAGTCAAAACTTGCCACTTCACGTTGCAGCTGAAGCTCCAGGTTCCCCGCAATGTCCTCGATCCTCCTGGTCACGGTTCGCCTGGACAGCGGGATTTGCTCAAATGCGCCTTTTATTTCAGGGCATATTAGTGTGGCAGAGTCCTCCATGCACTCTTTGACAAACTCTCCCTCCGAAAACGGCTTGCTGTTTTTAGCTATTTTGTGGGATATCACAAAGCTGGTCCTGGTTGCTGCATCCCTGGATGTGTGAAGCTTAGTAAAACAGCCTTGCTGCTTTTGCAACTTTGCTAGCAAAGCTTCAGATGTCCATGCCCTCTCAGCATCAGATGAGTTCTTGTATTTTTCCGAGTGTTTCTTGTCGTAATGCCGACTCAAATTGTAGTCCTTAAACACGGCAATCTCCTCCCCGCAAACCAAACACACGGCTTTACCTCAGACTTCAGTAAAAAAAATACTTAGCAGTCCAATTTTTGTTGAAAATCCTGCATTCGGCATCTTTCTTTTTTTTTTTTTTGCATGAGCGGACATTTCTCGGGCTACAATCACCATGTCAACCGCGGGCACTTGTGGCTATACGTATTGCGTCATTGTGCACGTAAAAAACAACTTCAAAATAAAAGCAATGCAGCCTTAGCCCATGCATGAGGTAAAATGAGAAAATACATTTATTTTGTAATTTCCAATTAACCTTACGCGGGCCGGTCAAAGTCAACCAAAGGGCCGGATGTGGCCCGCGGGCCGTAAAATGCCCAGGTCTGAGCTACGGTGTAGCCACAGCTGTCCTGGGGTGCACTGACAGAGGCGAGGCTGCTGAACACAGCCACCACCGGTCCCTCCACCACCACCAGCAGGCAAGGTGGGTTGGAGTGCCTTGCCCAAGGACACAACAGCAGATTCTCTGTCTGGAGCCGATCCTGCAACCTTCCAATTACTGGACAACCTACCTCTTGAGCTACTGCTGCCCCCTATCATCATCATTTTTATTATTATTAGAGTATGCTACACAGGAAGAGCTGGTTGATGGTGAATGTTAATGGAAGAAAACTAGAAATGTGCTTTAGAATCAAATAAAATAAAATAAAAACTCCAAAAATTATGAAATACTATTAAATTTAACATAATTAATAAGGTAGGTGCTTATAGTGCAATACAAATAACTATAATTTATCATGAAGAGGCTTGTTTTAAATCAACTTAGAATCGACTTTTAATACTTTCCTTCAAGCAGCCTGTTTTAAAGACACGTTTTGAATTTCTCTTTAGTATACAGACAAAAAAAGCAGAAACTAGTAGGAAAAACAGCTTGAGGGAACATTTCTATTTTATTCAACACATCTATAATCACACAAAACACAATAATATGGGTTTTAAACTGGCAGAAGGACAACTGTAACTCTAAAATTTGTTTTATTTGTTTGATGTGTGTTACTTAAATCCTGGCGTTGGTATGTTGTGTGTTTTGATGCTGTGGTTCGCCCATCAGCTCTAGCTGTTGAGCTTTCTCTTTACATGAATGAAGCTTAGAGTGTGTGTGCGGCTCAAATGCTTGTGGTTTTATGTTTGTCCTCAGGAGAGGAGGAGGGAGTTTGAGGCCAACCTTGAGAAAGAAGGTCTGGAGCTGGAGACAGAGGACAAATCTGTAAGAAACGCAATGCTGCCACCTAGTGAGCGGCATGTAGAGGTACATCTGATTTATTTCATGGCACAAACACACCACAGTTTGGATTCTCTCCTGTATTTTACAATCAGGACTCCAAAGACCATAAGACTTATTTCCTGAAGATCCACGCTCCGTGGAATGTCCTCGCCAAATACGCCGATATCTTGAAGATTAAAGTTCCTTTCAAAGAGAGCGACTTTCCTCACGGTAGGGAGGTGCCGCTCGAGTTCCTCTCGTGCCCGTTCCGTCTGCCAGACAGCATAATTCACCCACAGCCGGATTATTTCACCTCACCCTTCGACAAGAACAAGGTCGAATTCTTCCTCATCAGCGACAAAAGCACTTTCTTCCCACCGTCCACGAGGAACAGAATCGTAAGTGTCTAAGGAATCGCCTCAAGTACGTGAAGTTTTGGTGTTTTCTGGATGATGATGCTTCAGATGGAAACGTTCCCATCATGGAATATTTCTGTGGTTGCTTTGTATTTTGACAACGAGACAATAACGTGAATGACTGTCTTTCTTTTTCTGAGGTGTACTACATCCTGGCTCATTGTCCGTACTACAGCGAAGGTCGGAAAGACAGGGAGAAGACGGGAATTAAACGATTACTCAGCAACGGCACCTACACAGCGGCCTTCCCTCTCCATGATGTGAGTTATGTGGCTCACGCGTCAAATGTTACCTTTGATCTACTCAGTGCTCCTAACGTTTTGAAATAATTATGTTATCAGTAAAACTTTGAATAAAAAAACTATTTAGTAGTTTAAACTGTAGTGGATGTTTCAGTGTTGGTTTTGTTCATTTTCAGGGTCGATACTGGAAAAAAGCCAGAAACTCGGAGCCTGAGAGCGAGCGCTACAACCTGTACAAGCACTGGGCGAGGTTCCTCTGCTTCTACAAGGAGCAACCTCTGAACCTCATCAGGTGAGCCCACTTCATCTAAACACAGCCGCTGCCTTCTGCAATTCAATTCAATTCAAGTTTATTTATATAGCGCCAAATCACGACAAGAGTCGTCTCAAGGCACTTCACATAATAAACATTCCAATTCAGGTCAGTTCATTAAGCCAATCAGAAATAATGTTTCCTATATAAGGAACCCAGCAAATTGCATCAAGTCACTGACTAGTGCCAGTGACTATACAGCAATCCTCATACTAAGCAAGCATAAAGCGACAGTGGAGAGAAAAACACCCTTTTAACAGGAAGAAACCTCCAGAGGATCCTGGCTCAGTATAAGCAGCCATCCTCCACGACTCACTGGGGATCGAGAAGACAGAGCAGACACACACACACACACACGCACGCACGCACACACACACACACACACACACACACACACACACACACACACACACACACACACACACACACACACACACGCACACGCACGCACGCACGCACGCACACACAAAGACAAGTAATGTGTCTATAGTTATATTGTGATGTCTTAGTAAATATTCTATTTGGTGAAAGATAAACTTTATTGTATTTATCCTAGTGGATCTATAATTAAACAGATAAACTAGCAGTAGCACATCCAACGTCAAGGAAAGCAAAAAGTTATTATCAGGAGACGGAGAATGTTTTAGTGGTTAGCAGCAGTGTGCTAGTCGATGGCCCCCTCCATGAGGCCACCACAGCTGAGCAGAACATCATTGTAGCTTCCTCTGGGGATAAAAACACTTAGAGAGAAAATAAAGTTAACAGCTGAAGTTGCAGAAAATAATACAGTTAAAGAGCAGATTGTAGAAGAAAGTAGTAAAGTGTGAAAAGTGGTCAGTGTGTCCTCCAGCAGTCTAAGCCTATAGCAGCATAACTACAGAGAAGCATCTCACACAAGCATCTCTTCATGGCGTCACGCGCTTTCTGCAGGAAGTACTACGGAGAAAAGATCGGCATCTACTTTGCCTGGCTGGGTTTCTACACCGAGATGCTTTTCTTCGCAGCCATCATAGGTCTCATATGCTTCACTTACGGAGTTCTCAGCTATGACGACAACGTGTCCAGGTCGGTAACCCCAGGGAAATGAAAACCTCACAGTAAAACTTCATTTTGCATCATCAGAAATACAAATCACTGTCTTTAACAGGTGTTCAGGATGTTTTTGGACTTTTAAATCGGCTCAAGTCAACTTCTAATTTTTATAAGGATTTAAGAACGTTGCACTGTTCAGCTAGATAGCAGTTGATTGGTGATATGCAGTGTTGGGAACGTTACTTTAGAAAAGTAATTAGTTATAGTTACTGATTACTTTGTCAAAAAAGTAACTCAGTTACTAACTGAGTTACAAGATTATAAAAGTAACTAATTACCAAGAAGAATAACTACTTAGTTACTTTTTTCATTAAAGAATGCAAGAATTACTACAATAGTGAAATATAAATGACTAATGACTGCAACATAATGAAATGTGTGTCCAAATGTTTTTTATAAACCTGAATAATTTAAATAAATAAGCACTTAACAGGAGGAACTACTAACAGGAGCATTACACTAATCTAGACTATTAAAAGGTGTGATATTCAACAAGACCCCAATCAGCTAAAATTTAAAATTGCAAATAGAAACACCTGTAAAGGTTCCCGAGCCTTTAAATGGTCTCTCGGTCTAGTTAAATTGCAGAAATGAATGTAATTTTGCACAGCATTTTAATTTTTCCAGCTTCACATAATTGTGTGTTTTTAGCAGCATTTCTGTTGCTACTAATCTAGTAACGGTTAAATAAATAAATAAAATCCTTTAAAATGACACTAGAAGAGGCACAAGCCTGATGGAGGACTCACATTTACTAACTTGGGTCAGACCCAACCACAGAAGAGCTGAAGCTGGGTGGTGAACACACACAGGTAGTTCTAATAACACCTGAGCTCCATGACGTTTGAGACTGATGCATCAGTGTTACAGCGGGACTAAAGACATGATCAGGAACAGGTTACAGCTGGATGATCTAGGAAGGTAGAAGATCAGGACATCTGAGCGGTGAACAGGTGAGCGGACCTTCGGGACGTCCCGCTGTCACGCTAAGAAGGGCACGGCTGCAGACCCGCAGATTCGCTGCTGCAGCCGTGCAACCTCTGAACCTCATCAGGTGAGCCCACTTCACCATTTAAAGGCTCGGGAACCTTTACAGGTGTTTCTATTTGCAATTTTAAATTTTAGCTGATTGGGGTCTTGTTAAATTTCACACAGTGACCTTTTAACGTGCTGTGCCGTGATGCTCTTGGATGAAAACATCTACCTCTTTAGCTCCTGATCAGCCGATGACAGCTTCAACACACCGCGCTGCTTAACGCACGCATTTCCTTATCACTAACTGAAACGACGTTTTGATAAAAGAAGACGGTAATTAAATAGTTTGCTCGTTACAGGAGAAAATATTTTTTTTATTAACGCGGTTATTTTAAACGGCGTTATTCCCATCACTGCACTGTTGGGTCTACAGCAGGCAGTGACAGTGAGAACACTGAGGGTCTCCGGCCACCCGGCCAATCATCATCGTGTTTGTAAGTGCGTTACCGACACCTCTCCCTCCCTGGCTGCAGCTGAAGTGTGGCGGTCAGAAAGCCTCACACTGTTGCTCAACATTTGACAAGCACATAGTAACGCACAACCTTCCGTCCCCAGTAACCGTAACGGCGTTGCAACAGTGGGAAAAGTCATTAATTAGATTATTCCGTTACCTAAAAAAGAACGCCGTTAGTAACGCCGTTATCCTTAAACGGCGTTACTCCCAACACTGGTGATATGACACAGGACTCTGAGTAGCCCATCAGTGTTCCACAGTTCATGAACAAGAACCCTAACCCTCTGACGCTGTCACACAGGCTGTCTGTTTTCGACTCTCATGCTAACATTTCATGATGGTTCATTATGAATATGTTAGCCTTACACCGTTTTTAACACCGTTCTGGAGTTATTTGCTGCATCTGTCTCTGGTGCAGCTTGGGATATTTCCAGCAAGATTATTTCTGCAGGATTAACTGTGTTAAACTAAAGAATGATGGTGTAAATATTTAAAAAATAACATTTGCAGAACAAACGCTGTTATGTTTGAGATAGAGGCTGCAATAATGCACGTTAGGACCCAGATCTGGCTAGCTGTTGGCTCGACAGCTACGTTTTTAGTCGTTTTTCTCAAACGTTGAGCTAAATCATGGTTTGTTGGTTTAACTGAACTCCCTTTTCTGTATTAAAACACAGAGTTCCTTTTACTAGAATTTGTTTTAATATTATTGGATTCACATTTAAGGTTTAACGTTTCCAACAGTCTCCACTTCCACTTGGCTTCTAGATTAAAATGTGTTCAGTAGCTCCATTGCTTAATGCCGAAATCTAAAATGTTTCAGGGAAAGAAGCTCGAAAATGTGAATATTTCAGAAACAAATGTGTTTCACTCCTGGGGACGCTCCAGGAGTATGGGGTGGGTGGCCTTCTGTTAAGGGCCATTCAGTCCCTTTACCAGAGGAGCGTGAGTTTGGTCCACATAGCCGGTAGTAAGTCGGACCTGTTCCCAGTGAGGGTTGGACTCCACCAGGGCCGCCCTTTGTCACCGGTTCTGTTCATTACCTTTATGGACAGAATTTCTAGGCGCAGCCGTGGTGTGGAGTGTGTCGAGTTTGGTGGCAGGAGAATCTCGTCTCTGCTTTTTGCGGATGATGTGGTCCTCCTAGCTTCATCCAGCTCTGACCTTCAGCTCTTGCTGGGTAGGTTCACGGCCGAGTGTGAAGCTGCTGGAAAAGGGTGGCTTGCCAACTCCGGGCCGGGGGAGAGGTCCTACCTCAAGTGGAGGAGTTTAAGTATCTCGGGGTCTTGTTCACGAGTGAGGGTAGGAGGGATCGGGAGATCGGCAGGCGGATTGGTTCGGCGTCTGCAGTGATGCGGACGCTGAGCCGATCTGTCGTGGTGAAGAGGGAGCTGAGCCAGAAAGCCAGGCTCTCGATTTACCGGTCCATCTACGTCTCAATCCTCACCTATGGTCATGAGCTTTGGGTAATGACCGAAAGAACGAGATCGCGGATGCTAGCGGCCGAAATGAGTTTCCTCCGTAGAGTGGCCGGGCTCAGCCTTAGAGATCGGGTGAGGAGCTCGGACATCCGGGAAGGACTCGGAGTAGAACCGCTGCTCCTCCGGATCGAAAGGAGCCAGTTGAGGTGGTTTGGGCATCTGGTCAGGACGCCTCCTGGACGCCTCCCCGGGGAGGTGTTTCAGGCATGTCCTGCTGGCAGGAGGCCCCCGGGTCGACCCAGGACACGTTGGAGAGGTTACGTCTCCAATCTGGTCCGGGAACGCCTTGGGGTCCTGCTGGTGGAGGTGGCCAGGGAGAGGACGGTCTGGAGCTCCCTAATTGGGATGCTGCCCCCGCGACCCGGACCCGGATGAGCGGAGGAAGATGACGACAAATGTGTTTCAAGTTGAAAACTTTAATGCATGCTCTGCAAGGATGTTTTTTTTTTTTATTGTGCTCTTCTAGCAACTCAGATATTCTGCAGCTGTGACTTCCTAAAGTCACCTGATCATATGTCATCAGTTCTGAGTGAAATAACACAAAATTATGAAAAAGGTCAAACCTGGAAACCCCGCAGCTGTGGCCACATGGTTAGCTGCAAGCTTCTGTGAAAATGCATCCGTTTTAAAGGTTAACACAGCATTATTGTTGATTTATTGATGTGTGGAAAACATTTAGAATTGTTTAAACTTAAGTTTGTTTCTATATCAGTAAAGAAATATGTGACGCTGAGGTTGGAGGCAGCATATTGATGTGCCCTCTTTGTGACAAGAAGTGTCCTTTCTGGAAGCTCAACTCCACGTGCCTCTCATCATGGGTAATTCTTCCATTATAATGTTAAATCTAAGTGAATTTTATTTGTTATGTAATGCACATGCAGAATACCACCAGTAGGAATCAGCTTTCATGCAATTAGTAAAGAATGCAGAATTAGTTAAAGTCAAAAGTAAAAGTTGCACTGGTCATCACACTCTGGTGAAATTCATCTCCGCATTTGACCCATCCCCGTGGGGAGCTAGCTGGTGGTTTATTTATTTATATCTTTTATTCTTATTGACTCCATAAGTAAATGTAATCACCTTTCTCTTACACTGATGCAGCTTCCAGATGTTTTATGCAGACATCTCTAATTATCAGGCTTCCTTCTCTGTCTTTTTCTCTCCCAGCAATCCCATCTGTTTGATAATGAGGGAACGGTGTTCTTCGCCATATTTATGGGGATTTGGGGTAAGTGTCAGTCTCTTTTTCAGGAAACTCGTCAAATCCTCCAGGAACAAATTATCCCAATTAAACCTTTTTACGCTGAAACATTTCTCTTTTTGCTGCTGCTTCCATCCAAAAGACCCTTTCAGAGCATTGATGTGGTTCTGAAGCCAAAAGAGTCATGCTATCTGAACTCGGAACCATTTTTTACCTATTATTTCTGATTATAATGGGTCACTCTGTTTAACATGCAGGTTGAACATGAAAATAGTCTCCTACAGCTATCTCCTGCATTAGACTCTGATAGAAAATAGAAGGTGCCACTCTAGGATTAGAAAATCCTGACAGATCTCCTTCACACTGTCACTTAACGTTCATGGATTCACCCGTTTTGACTCGCGACCGGGAAGGCTGTTGTTGGTTTAGTGTCCAGGAAACAGCAGAGAATGTCTCGGCGAGTAGAGCTAACAGTTAGCATTAGCAAGTCCACCACACAGCGGAACTCCTCCAGGCTTGTGTTATTTGTGGAGATAAAACATCAACGATGCTGTTGGCCAGAGGCGAGATGTCCAAATACCAAGAAGCTTCTTGGATATGAAGCAAAACGTCTTGAAGAAGCCAAAGAAGTCCAGTTACCTTCATTCGAAGGCTTTTGAATTACCATGACCTGGATGATCAAGAACCTTCACCAGCAAAAGTGATCTGATCAAAGCAAAATTCAGTAAATGACAAAATGTTTCCATAAAGAATCTGTTTTTGCAGTGACTTTGTTTCTGGAGTTCTGGAAGCGGCGTCAGGCCCGACTGGAGTACGAATGGGATTTGGTGGACTTTGAGGAGGAGCAGCAACAGCTTCAGATCCGCCCAGAGTTTGAGATCAAGTGCACCAACAGAAGGTTAAACAAGATCACTCAGGTGCCCTTTAAGCTGCATTCACACATTATAAACGCTGTTTTCCAATTAAACAAGTGACTGAATGAATCTCCCAGGAAATGGAGCCGTATCTAACCATCCACAGCAGATGTGCTCGCTACTCCCTCTCTGCAGCCACCGTTCTGTTCTGGGTAATTAAAAGCCTACTTCTTTAAGGGTCTTCATCGTGTCACGTCGTCAGGTCGTTCGTGTCATGTTGTTTTTTTGCTTTACACAGATTTCCCTGATCGTGGCGTGTATCATCGGAGTCATAGCGTACAGGTTGGCCGTGTATGCAGCCTTTGCCAGTATCATCAAAGACCCGATGCGAAGGATCCAGCTGGTGGGCCGGTTCATCACCCCGCAGCTTGCGACCTCTGTCACGGCGTCCTGTATCAACTTTGTCATCATCATGATCCTCAACTTCTTCTATGAGAGGGTGGCTATCTGGATCACTGATTTGGGTGAGAAGGTTTCATCAAGAGCTGCTGTCCAAATGTGAAGAAATACAGACTCTGTAAAAGTCCAGCAACATACCAGCCTGGCTAGCCTGCCTATATATGTGATGATATAGTCTGTCCACGACACAGAAACAGAGCTCAGTCGTAGGGCGGGATCTACGGTTGTCATTTAAAGTGTCTCTGCATGCTGCTGGACAACAAACAATGTGCTGACCACTGCGGATAGCAAGCCTAGTTTATGCTTCAGCGTCAGCTCTGTGAGAAGGAGATGCACTCGTTTGCTGGAGAGCATTGCAATGCAATTCCCCGCCAGGACAACAGAGGGCGTAAGCGCTTTTCTGGGGTTTCCTGCCACCATCATGTGAATCTGGTCCAAGATAGTATTTACTATTGTGCTTTGTTTCATGCGAACCCCACCTCTAAACCCACGTTTCCTGTCATTTCCGTCCACGAGTAAAACACTTGCTGCGTATCTTTTACTCTTTCAGTCACGTATAGGTAAACGTTCATATTTTCTGAGTTTTTCTGCTTCTTCAAGCTGCTCCGTGTCTGCCACTAGATGTCTTCAGCTCTGTTTATTGTTTATTGAGGGGGCAATGGTGGTACTGTTGGCGAATTTAAAGGAAGCAGCATCCTGACCAATCACAAGCTTCCACTCTTTGTCTAATTTGACAGAAGTTTAGAAAAGGGGGCTCGGCTCCGTCCGTCCTTGTGGGCTTGATGTAGAGTCCTCAACGGCCCCAGACGGAGAAGCGTAAATTAGGGCTAAGTCAACGGGGAAGTCCGCAATACACCATCAAACAAGAAGCAAAAACATCCTTTTTCAAAATGAAGGACTTAAGTACCTCTATTTGCTCTTGACTCAAAGAAAAGTCCAAATCTAAACAGTCCATCATAGTTGTTCCGCTTCATCAGCATTGCTTCATCTCACCCACCAAACCAATAGAGTGCTGTGATTGGCTCACCAAACCAATAGAGTGCTGTGATTGGCCCACCAAACCAATAGAGTGCTGTGATTGGCCCAACAAAATGATAGAGTGCTGTGATTGGCCCACCAAACCGATAGAGTGCTGTGATTGGCTCACCAAACCGATAGAGTGCTGTGATTGGCTCACCAAACCAATAGAGTGCTGTGATTGGCCCAACAAAACGATAGAGTGCTGTGATTGGCCCACCAAACCGATAGAGTGCTGTGATTGGCTCACCAAACCGATAGAGTGCTGTGATTGGCTCACCAAACCAATAGAGTGCTGTGATTGGCTCACCAAACCAATAGAGTGCTGTGATTGGCCCAACAAAACGATAGAGTGTTGTGATTGGCCCACCAAACCGATAGAGTGCTGTGATTGGCTCACCAAACCGATAGAGTGCTGTGATTGGCTCACCAAACCAATAGAGTGCTGTGATTGGCCCAATAAAACGATAGAGTGCTGTGATTGGCCCACCAAACCGATAGAGTGCTGTGATTGGCTCACCAAACCGATAGAGTGCTGTGATTGGCTCACCAAACCAATAGAGTGCTGTGATTGGCCCAACAAAACGATAGAGTGCTGTGATTGGCCCACAAAACCGATAGAGTGCTGTGATTGGCTCACCAAACCGATAGAGTGCTGTGATTGGCTCACCAAACCAATAGAGTGCTGTGATTGGCCCAACAAAACGATAGAGTGCTGTGATTGGCCCACAAAACCGATAGAGTGCTGTGATTGGCTCACCAAACCGATAGAGTGCTGTGATTGGCTCACCAAACCGATAGAGTGCTGTGATTGGCTCACCAAACCAATAGAGTGCTGTGATTGGCCCAACAAAACGATAGAGTGCTGTGATTGGCTCACCAAACCGATAGAGTGCTGTGATTGGCTCACCAAACCAATAGAGTGCTGTGATTGGCCCAACAAACCGATAGAGTGCTGTGATTGGCCCACCAAACCGATAGAGTGCTGTGATTGGCTCACCAAACCAATAGAGTGCTGTGATTGGCCCAACAAACCTATAGAGTGCTGTGATTGGCTCACCAAACCAATAGAGTGCTGTGATTGGCCCAACAAAACGATAGAGTGCTGTGATTGGCCCACCAAACCGATAGAGTGCTGTGATTGGCTCACCAAACCGATAGAGTGCTGTGATTGGCTCACCAAACCGATAGAGTGCTGTGATTGGCTCACCAAACCAATAGAGTGCTGTGATTGGCCCACCAAACCGATAGAGTGCTGTGATTGGCTCACCAAACCGATAGAGTGCTGTGATTGGCCCACCAAACCGATAACTACCCAGGCCAATGGTAGGCCTGCTGAGGCTCCAGTGGAGCGTGGCTAGATCAACCTACAGAGCGAAAATCTTTTGCTTCTACTACGGTCTGTTTAGATTTCTAGGTTAGCTACATACAACATCCATGTAACACTCATGATGAATCCCTGTTATGTGTGTGTAAAGGGTGGGAATGATGCAAAGTTCTGCTTGATTCTTGAGTTGATAGGGTAGTTTTGTTTTAACCTTTGACCTTCCCTTAACCATATCTGTGGCATTAAGGGTCTTCAGCAGTAAAGTCCTCTCTCACCATCCAGCCACAGTGTCTATTATCTTCTGAGTGTCCATCCTTTTCCAGCTAGAGATGCACAGATTCTAGTTTTGCAGGCACCAGTCTCAAGTTCTCAGACACTCTGACCTGCATGACCAATTCCGATTCATCCGAATTATTTTTCTTTTTTATGATTTAGAAAAGGACACGGGGAAAATTTTTTTATTATTGTTAGTGTGGATTAGTTAGAGATGGCGAGTTGTACAGTGTTCATTTTGGGACATCCTTAGGTCTCAGGAAAACATTGTCAGACATCACATCAAATGGCCTCAGAACTTAGACGTCAGACATCAGAACATAAAGACAAAAGCATCGGGTAAGGACTCTGTCAGGAAAAAGTCCCCCATACAAAACGTTTTCAGATAGAAGTGACTCAGAGAAGCATCTTTTTTTTTATCTGATGTCCGACACTGTTTCCTTGAGGCCATAGACCAGGGGTATTCGATTCAGGGCCTGGAAGGCCGGAATGCAGCACATTTCAGCATTTTCTCTGCTCCAACACTCTTTATTCAGTGGTTGAAACACCTGTGCAGCAGCTCATCAGGCTCTGCAGGAGCCGGTTAATCACCTGCTGACTGAAATCGGGTGTGCTGAAGCAGGGTTAAAGCTAAAACGTGCAGGATACTGGACCTCCAGTCCTGGAATTGAATAGCCCTTTAATAGAGTTTCCAGACCTCCATAAAGGGAAGGTGTTTATATTGCTTCCTGCTTGCAGCCATGTTTTTATGTCGCATGATTTACAGACATGGAAACTACATCCGCGAAGACCCGGATTAGCTGTAGATCCTGTTATTTATGATTCAGCAGTATCTCTGAATGAAGCTGTTTGAACTTGGCTTGCACTGCCGGTTTAATCAATCAATGTTTTGTTTATTTTTGGTTTTTGGAGCAATTATTATGAAAATAAATGAGCTTTTTTTTCTGTTTTGTAAAATTTCTGGAGATCATGTCAAGATCCCTAATTTAGTCATGTGACCTTCAGCGGGTCTGGACCTTAACTTTGGGACGTCCCAGAGGATCAGATTTGATGCCATCGTGATTTTACAACCACGTTTCTCAAAGCAGCTCAAAAACACAAACTACGCTAGAAACATGGCCGTCTGTTCGTAAACATCTGTGCTGTTTGTTTCCTGCAGAAATCCCTAAAACCCACCTGGAGTATGAGAACAGGTTGACCATGAAGATGTTTCTGTTCCAGTTCGTCAACTACTACTCCTCCTGCTTCTACGTGGCCTTCTTCAAAGGCAAGTTTGTGGGATACCCAGGGGACTACTCGTACATGTTCGGCAAGTGGAGCAAACTCAGAAACGAAGAGGTGACTTTTTGTTTTGCTTTAGAGAATTGTTATTTTTAATCCAGAGCGTCAGATGAAAACTCTGCCTCCCTCTCCAGTGTGACCCTGGCGGTTGTCTGATAGAGCTGACCACACAGCTGGTGATCGTCATGGCTGGGAAACAGCTCTGGGGAAACATCCAGGAGGCTTTGCTGCCGTGAGTCCATCAAGCCCCGCATTTTTTTTCACGGCTTTGTCCGTTTCTCACATCAGAGATCGTTTTGTATAAATATGAAAAGAAAAAATTAGATTGAATCAGCATCTGTGACTCTTAACAGGGGTGTTTTGGCAATTTTAAGCTAGCTTACCATTTGAAGATAGCTTTCTGAATGTCTTCAGGTTGGAGAAATAGGACTGAAGAGGTGACAGCTAGTCTTACCCATAATGCACACTGGAAGCATCAGCGGCGCGGAACATCACTGCTTCAAACAGAACCCATGAGGTCATTCAAAGCAGCCGCGACATGCATGTGTCCCAGAAGTAGAGGCCGACCATTATGGTTTTTTTAAGGCCGATACCGATTTTTAAAGAATGTTGTTGCTGATGGCCAATATCTAAAGCCGATTATTAAGGCTGAAATATATATCTATATATATATATATATATATATATATATATATATATATATATATATATATATACATATATCTATATATATATATATATATATACATATATCTATATATATATATATATATATATATATATATATATATATATATATATATATATATATATATATATATATATATATATATATATATACATTTTAGCAGCACATTTGTTGTGAAAGACAACTGAACCCTCACTGTGTGCAATATTAATTAAAGAAATCAATTAATCTCAACTCATTCATTGCCATTGACGACTAAAGTCGTCATTTTAAATCACACCGTGAGAACAAACATCTCAGCTCTAAAGCCGATCTTCCGCATACGTCACACGTCACGTGATCAGGAAGCAGATAATCCACACGTTAGGAGATCGTTTTGGGCCGCTGCTGTAAAAAAGAAGGGAGGCGCGAACTGAAAAATCGTCTGCCGATCACAATTCAACAACGGATTATGAAAGAACGGATAACGCTCAAAACGCGCGGATTCTTCCTGATGTCAGAGGTGAGTCTCCTCTTTGTTTTGCTTGTTTGGCGTTGACATCATCCTAGTGCGCAACGTTCTGCGACTCTTAAAAAAACAGTACAAACGGTGAGAAACACTGGCAGCGAAGGGCTTTACCGATCAGGAAAGGGCTGGCAGCGAATGAGTTAATATTAATTCAATTTCAAATCTAAGACATTAAAAAAATGGTGTGTTTGCGTCCTTCAGGTTCTTTATTCAGTTTAATAGTGGCGGCAGCCGGACACACAGGTGCCTGATATTTATTTCTTTTTCAATCGGCTCTTAAAAATAATTTTGACCGATGGCGGATACAGAAAAAAATCGAACATATCGGTTGGCCTCTACCCAGAAGTGTCATTCCCGTCTTTTTGGTTTAAAGGCGGATGGAGTCTTTTGATTCGGAAAAGGGTAGAATGCCTTCTCCGGGTCAGAGATGAGGTCCTGTTTAAGCATCTTGAGGTCTTGTTCACGAGTGAGGGAAAGCTGGAGCGTGAGATCGATAGGCGGATTGGTGCTGCATCTGCAGTGATGTGGGCGTTGTACCGGTCTGTCGTGGTGAAGAGAGCTGAGTCAGAAGGCAAAGCTCTCGATTTACCGGTCGATCTACGTTCCTACCCTCACCTATGGTCATGAGCTTTGGGTAGTGACCGGAAGAACAAGATCGTGGATGCAAGCGGCCGAAATGAGTTTTCTCTGAAGAGTGGCTGGGCTCTCCCTTAGAGATAGGGTGAGAAGCTCGGTCATCCGGGAGGGGCTCAGAGTAGACCCGCTGCTCCTCCACATCGAGAGGAGCCAGTTGAGTTGGCTCGGGCATCTGGTCAGGATGCCTCCTGGACGCCTCCCTGGTGAGGTTTTCCAAGCACGTCCAACCGGGAGGAGATCTAAAGGTAGACCCAGGACACGGTGGAGGGACTATGTCTCTCACCTGGCCAGGGAACGCCTTGGGATTCCCCCGGAGGAGCTGGCCCAAGTGGCTGGGGAGAGGGAAGTCTGGGCCTCTCGACTTAGGCTACTGCCCCCGCTACCCGACTCCGGATAAGCGGATGAAAATGGATGGATGGGCGGATGGCGTAAGCGCTTGTGATCCAGCAAAGAGCACGACACAGAAGCGTGGCTGAGTTTCTCCCGGTGTGTACTGGCACGCAGCGAAAGTTGCGAGGAAATCATTCCACTCCGCTGACGTTTCAGCAGGTGTGAGTGCAAGACCAGCATGGATCGCTGCAGTTTGGGAGAAAACTTTCATTCATGTTTATTCAGAATTATTTTAGAATCTTTTACACCTCCTTCAGTTTTCATGACTCATTTGTTTACGTGGAATTCTGTGGTTGTTTACAAACGTAAACATCATCAATGACAACTAAATGTAGCACTTCTAGTCACACTGACAGGTATTTCGTAACATTTCTGCCCAGATAAGTGAATCTGACAGCAGTGTAAAAGGTTATAGCCGTTAGCTCACGAGTCCTACAGGACATAAACACTATTTCTCCCAGCTGAGGCTGCTCAAGGAGTAAATTGTGAGTTATTTATAAGAATTTATACAGAAACAGACTTTAGAATGAGCAACTTTTACTTTTGTTCTGGTCAACACAGCAAAAATAATATTTTTACTTGATACTTATTCTTGCACCATCTGGTAAATGAAGCAAAACTTCTAATTTTGCTTGATTCAATGTCACCATATTTGCGACTTGATCTTCATCCTGAGATTTTTATGTTTGAGATATTTTGTTTATTTTTCTTTTAACGAACGGCTGCAGTTTCGACCCGATGGGTTTTGTTTCAGGTTGCTGCGTACCTGGTGGAACAGCAGGAGGGGACGTCACAACCCTGAGAACCAGTACAGCCGCTGGGAGCAGGATTACATTCTGCTGAACTTCACCCAGCTGGGTCTGTTCTACGAGTACCTGGAGATGGGTGAGACGCTGTTTTCATTCAGTTTGAAGTAGAAAACGATGCAGCTTCATGACTTGGACAGAACGTCCTTCTTTCAGTGATCCAGTTTGGCTTCATCACTCTGTTCGTGGCCTCCTTTCCCCTGGCCCCCCTCCTGGCTCTTTGCAACAACATCCTGGAGATCCGGGTGGATGCTTGGAAGTTCACCACCCAGTTCAGACGACCGGTGGCATCCAAGGCCAGAAACATCGGAGCGTGGAAAGAGATCCTCAACGCCGTGGCCATTTTGTCTGTTGTCACCAATGTGAGTTATAAGTAGATCTAAAATCAAAGTCTTTACACATCAGTCGATTTAAGACTGAAACAGCTCTTTTCCCTTTGGTTTCAGGCTTTTATCATGGCGTTTACCTCGGACATGATCCCCCGCATGGTTTACCTTTATGCCATCAGTCGAGACAAAAGCATGAAGGGCTACATCAGCAACAGTCTGTCAGTGTACAATATCTCACAGATCCCTAAAACAAACATGCCCGAGGAAAACTGGTACGATAACTCCACCGTTACGTGCAGGTACGAGTTTCCAGTCCGTGTGGTTTGAGCCAGGGTTGTTTTCACCTGTAGCTTTAAATCAAAATCTGAAAAACGTTAGTTTGTCTAACAGACAGATGGACACGAGAAGGAAAAACAAAAGAGCTTTAAAAATATTTATATTTATTTAACCCTCTTATTACCAACTTGTCGCCGCTGACAGGATTGGACATGCTTCTCGTTACCATAATTCCTGAACCATTCAAGATATCTGTAAAATTCCAAAAGTGCTGAAAAGATTAAAAATGGGGATTTTCGTGCGTGTACAATACATTATGGTAGCCACCGGGATTCCCTGTCTTGAGCTCAACGAATCACAACACAGATTCAGAGACGTGCTGAGTTTGTCATCCAAAATGCTCCATTTTACAACTTTTGAATGGCTGATCAGATTCAAAAACTTCTAACGATTCCTAAAAGTACATAAAAGCAGCTTTCCAACGATCTATAGCATGAAGCAATCAGAGTTATGGAAAATATCGCTACAGGGGAAATCCTGCTGTACAGCCTGGTTGAAACGGAGTGCAGCGCCGCGGTGAAAGTGGATAACGGAACGGGGAAGCTAATTAGCATAAAAAGCCAGCATGAAATTATGGAAATGCCTCAAAGAAATTCAACACGATCTATTAGGTGCCCCAGAAGGCTTGTACCTGAAGACAGTGACCACGAAGAAGGACAGGTCTCCAGTGAACCAGGGTATGAATGTTTGTTCCGTCTTTATTTATTTTTATTTGAGCAACCCTCAACTATTTGCTAATTGTAAGATTCAGCTTCATTCCAGCATTATTTGTCTTTTTACAATAAATAATTATTTTTGCTAAAAAAAAACGTTTTTTGTATAGCAGTAAATTATATTTATTATTTGCAGGGACTCTGGCTGCAGCTGGAGAGAAACTGCTTCAAGGTCTACCACATCAAATAAAAACGTCTGAAAGTTTACAGAAAATAAATGGTCTTAAAAACTGCTAAAAAGATACCAAGGTTCAAACTTTTTAAAGAATAGATGCATTACAGTGTAAAGTTTAAATTGTTCATTCCAAATTGTTTTCCCAAGTCATTTTGAAGTTCCTGTTCAGTAATAAATGTAAAAAATTTGAATCGGTTTTTTGCTTTTTTCACTTTTAAGCTAATTTTTTAAAGGCTTTAATAGAAATAACTTCTAAATTCTAAATACAAACCAAAGCTGAGGTTGTTCTGAAAAAAGGAGAAGAGTTACACACACTTTGCACTTTTTATTACAATTTTACAGCCATAAGATAAAAAATATACCAGGCGGCCCTGTTATAATTATGGTCATAAGAGGGTTAAGTAGATTGAAAATAAAAATAAAAAGGTAAAATGAAAAAAAAAGAACAAAAACAAGGTTAAAGCTGCTTTAGCAAATCTACAGAACAAGCTAAGTTTTGAATGCAAACACAGTCACAGAACGCTCACCTCTCCCCTCGGGTATATTCCCTGGTTCTGCGTCCACTGGAACCAGAAACCCACAACACTGGAAGAAACAAGATAGCGCTTAACACCGGTCATAATTTTCTATGTCTAAGCGTCTTTTGTTGTCCGTGACTTAAAATGGTGTATTTCTTTTTGGGACTCTGGTAGTTTGTCCTAAAGTTGAAGAGGTAGCAGCCGGCTGTTTCTCCTTCTTTGATATTATTAACCTCTCACAAGAGAGGTGACCCAGGGAAGTGCAGCAGTTCGCCAAGATGGACAACAAGATGGACCAATGGCTGCTTTTGGTCTAAAACATGTTATTTGATTTTAGACAAATGTGAAAGAACCACTTCATTAATTTATTTCAGTTTTTTGTCTCCACAATATATTTACAGCTATATTATGTTATAGGGTTTTCACATCTGGGTCGACCCGGTCTAGCACTAGTAGGTCAATTGTATGAGTAAGCTGTGCATTTTCCGTGCTCATGCAGTCAGCTTCGTGCAGAGTTGATCTTACACACCCACTCCCGACTGATTGGCTGGCTGAGATTCACACCTACCTACTAGTGGGAGCCTCTGATTGGAGGGTGGAATCAGCCTGCGACTGCTTCCTTAATGAGCGATCCATTATCAGTCTGGATGCAGAAGAGTAAACATCTTCTCTGCAGCTGAGACTAGCCACAGGAACGCGAGGACAAACTGTCTGCCCTGAGAGGAGCCCACTCAGTGACAGAGTAGCACGCTGTGTGCTTCATATGAGTCTCCATAAGCAGCACTACTCACGGCTGCTTTGTTTTACAACTTAAGGACACTACGAACTCCATTATGCATTTTTTCCCCGCCCACATCCGCGTTCCTGAGAAGGCTGTTTGAACCACAAACATGATCATGGTGTGAACATGACCTGACCATGCGGGGGCTGGCCGACCCAACCAAGATTGGGCCGGGCCAGCCGTGAAAATGCCAGTAAAAGATAGTTACAAGGTATAAAAAAAAACATGTTTTAAGCCCATTTGTTTTCCAAATTTGCTATATTGGCTTTAAATCAAAAAATGGCCTGTAAATGGCCTGCATTTGATAAAGCGCCTTCTAGAGTCATGGAACCCCCCAAGGCGCTTTACAACACAATCAGTCATTCACCCATTCACACACACATTCACACACTGGTGGGGATGAGCTACAATGTAGCCACAGCTGCCCTGGGGCACACTGACAGAGGCGAGGCTGCCGAGCACTGGCACCACCGGTCCCTGCGACCACCACCAGCAGGCAACGTGGGTTAAGTGTCTTGCCCAAGGACACAACGACAGCGACAGACTGAGCGGGGCTCGAACCTGCAACCTTCCGATTACGGGGCAAGCACTTAACTCCTGTGCCACCGTCAACTGAAAAAAAAATGAGGAAGTCATTCTCACCGTCAAAAGCTGAACAGGATGATTCAAGTTTGTAAAATATTTAATTAACGGAATCTTGTTTGTTATCCATCCATCCATTTTCTTCCGCTTATCCGGGGTCGGGTCGCTGGGGCAGTAGCCTAAGTCGAGAGGCCCAGACTTCCCTCTCCACAGCCACTTGGGCCAGTTCTTCCGGGGGAATCCCAAGGCGTTCCCTGGCCAGGTGAGAGACATAGTCCCTCCACCATGCCCTGGGTCTTCCTTTAGACCTCCTCCCGGTTGAACGTCCCCAGAGAACCTCACCAGGGAGGCATCCAGGAGGCAACTTAATCAGATGCTTGAGCCACCTCAACTGGACATGGAGGAGCAGCAGGTCTACTCCAAGCCCCTCCCAGATGACCGAGCTTCTCACCCTGTCTCTAAGGGAGAGCCCAGCCACCCTGAGGAGAAAACTCATTTCAGCCGCCTGAATCCGCGATCTCGTTCTTTCTGTCACTACCCAAAGCTCGTGACCATCGGTGAGGGTAGGAACATAGATCCATCGTTAAATCAAGAGCTTCACTTTCTGGCTCAGCTCTCATTTCACCACGACGGACCGGTACAATGCCCACATCACTGCAGATGCAGCACCAATCCACCTATTGATCTCACGCTCCAGCTTTCCCTCACTCGTGAACAAGACCCCGAGATACTTACCACCTCCACCTGGGGCAGGCTCTTGTTTGTTATATCAAAGTAAATAACTGTGTTTACATTTAAACAACTTATTTACTAATTTGTATACCTACATTCAAAATCACATATATGAAGTGCTTTTGAAAAAAATAATTCTGTATTTTTTGGGTATTCCTGTTTTCATTCAGTTTAGTGATTTAAACTGTAGATTTTCTCTCTGCCTGTTGCGTTGTGTTATTTTGTATTATGTCATGTTGTGTTGTGTTGTGTTATACTGTGTTGTGTTGTGTCGTGTTGCGTTGTGTTATACTGTGTTGTGTTGTGTTATTTTGTATTATGTCATGTTGTGTTGTGTTGTGTTATACTGTGTTGTGTTATTTTGTATTATGTCATGTTGTGTTGTGTCGTGTTGTGTTGTGCTATTTTGTATTGTGTCATGTCGTGTTGTGTCATGTTGTGTTGGGTTGGGTTATACTGTGTTATTTTGTTGTGTTATTTTGTATTGTGTTGTGTCGTGTTGTGTTGTGTCGTGTCATGTTTTGTTATACTGTGTTGTGTCGTGTCATGTTTTGTAATACTGTGTTGTTTCGTGTTGTTTTGTGTCGTGTGGTGTTGTGTTGTGTTATACTGTGTTGTGTTGTGTTATTTTGTATTACGTCATGTTGTGTTGTGTCGTGTTGTGCTGTGTTATACTGTGTTGTGTTGTGTCGCGTCATGTTTTGTTATACTGTGTTGTGTTGTGTCGTGTTTCGTTATACTGTGTTGTGTCGTGTCGTGTCATGTTTTGTAATACTGTGTTGTTTCATGTTGTGTTGTCTCATGTGGTGTTGTGTTGTGTTTTACTGTGTTGTGTTGTGTTATTTTGCATTGTGTCCTGTTGTGTTGTGTTATACTGTGTTGTGTTGTGTTATTTTGTATTGTTTCGTGTCATGTTGTGTTGTGTTATACTGTGTGGTGTTGTGTCATGTCGTGTTGTGTTATACTGTGTTGTGTTGTGTCATGTCGTGTCGTGTTGTGTTATACTGTGTTGTGTTGTGTTAAACTGTGTTGCATTGTGTTATACTGTGTTGTATTGTGTTGTGTTTTGTATTGTGTCCTGTGGTGTGGTGTTGTGTTATAATGTGTTGTGTTGTGTCGTGTCGTGTTATGTTATGTTATACTGTGTCATGTCGTGTCATTTTGTGTTGTGTTATACTGTGTTATTTTGTATTGTGTCATGTTGTGTTATTCTGTATTGTATCGTGTTGTGTTGTGTTATACTGTGTTGTGTTGTGTCATGTCATGTTGTGTTGTGCTGTTTTGTGTTGTGTTGTGTTGTTTTATACGGTGTTGTGTCGTGTTGTGTCGTGTTGTTTTATACGGTGTTGTGTTGAGTTGTGTTTTTTGTACTGTGTCGTGTCGTGTCGTGTTATACTGTGCTGTGTTGTTTTGTGTTGTGTTGTGTTATACTGTCTTGTTTTGTTTTGTGTTGTGTTGTGTTATACTGTCTTGTGTTGTGTTGTTTTGTGTTGTGTTGTGTTATACTGTGTTGTGTTGTGTTGTTTTGTGTTGTGTTGTGTTATACTGTGTTGTTTTGTGTTGTGTTGTGTTATACTGTGTTGTTTTGTGTTGTGTTGTGTTGTTTTGTGTTGTGTTGTGTTGTGTTGTTTTGTGTTGTGTTGTACTGTGTTGTTTTGTGTTGTGTTGTGTTGTGTTATACTGTGTTGTTTTATGTTGTGTTGTGTTGTTTTGTGTTGTGTTATACTGTGTTGCGTTGTGTTATGTTATGTTATACTGTGTTGTGTTGTGTTGTGTTGTGTTGTGAAGATACCGGGACTACCGTTACCCACCAGGACACATGAGAGAGTACGATCACACCATGCAGTTCTGGCACATCCTTGCAGCCAAAATGGCCTTTATTATAATCATGGAGGTAAGGCAACCAACTCAGTCCTTCACCCTCGATAAATGAATGAATTCTCATGTAGTAATATGAATACTTGTCCTTCTGCAGCACGTGGTCTTTGTGGTGAAGTTCTTTGTTGCGTGGTTGATCCCAGATGTCCCGTCAGACGTGAAGGCACGGATTAAACGGGAACGTTTCCTGATCCAGGAGTACCTGCACAACTACGAGGTGGAGAGGCTCAAACTCCAGCTCAGTGCCAGTTTCATCACCGAGCCACACTCAGAGACGACCTTGACCCCAGATATGACCTTGACCTCGGACAAACTCGAAGTTCTGTCCGAGTGTTAGCTGCCACTCTCCTAATGCTCGACTCTGAGAGAAGAACTCTCTGGAAGTCCTTTTTGTTTTCCTGCAAAGGCTTCTGGGTCCAAAGTAATGTTAGCATTCCCTTTAATGCAAGCAGAAGCAGTTGGAATGTAAATTAACATGTAATAAGATCAACTCTAATCCTAATTTCTCCACAGAGACATAAAGGACAAGGTTTACACCCGCCAAACGTATCCTGACTATGAAACTGTGATGAGAAACTTTAGAAAAGATAAAACACTTAAACTGAGAGCTGAAACACAACGGTCAGGTTTATGTCCTCAGACGGCTTCACTACGTTTTTATTTCATGGGTTGTTGTGTGTGTGGTTCTGTTCCCTGGAGTGTTTTTTTCTCAGAAAAACGTGCTGAAAACAGTGCATCTGATAACCGAGTACCTCCTTTGCTCTGCGGCGATACCGAAACAACCGGACGTGTTTTTGTTGCAGTCAGCAGCTTCGTCATGCTTTAGCTGCCTGGTGTGGGAGCAGTTTTTTAAGATTTCGATTAAAAACAGAAGAATATCTGAGACAAACGTCGGCAGATCTGCGCAAACCCTTTAAACAGCTGCTTTACTGCTGTTGTATTCTGCATACAATAATCTCAGATTATCTGTGTTTCTGTATTCTGTTGAGATTGTGACTTTCCAGATGAGAACCTTGTGCGCTCTCATTGAGATACACACAACATTTAGAGGTCAAGTACATGCAGCTCATTCCCAAGTCTTTCTGTATAGAAATACCTTTGTTTCTGATTTTGAGCCTAAATCATGATGTAAACACTTTTCAAACAGCATATGAGATGATTGAAGCTGCTACACGTCCACTTTCTAACATTTCCAGGATCATTTCTTTGTCAGAGAAGGTTTACGCTGACCTCCGTGTGAGCGTAGTTCTCAGAAGGACATCTTTTACCGTTCAGGTCGTGTTCAGACGTGTTCCGAGGATTCAGATGTGACCCAGCATGCAGCACGAAGGTCTCCTGAACAATCCAACTGCCTTAAACGTCTGTTAACTGGTTTCAGAGTGAGGCGTTTCCTGTCGGACTTTAAATCGTGTTTGATTATTCGTCGCTGATGTTTATTTGTAATGTGCCCTTTATTTTTCTGTGCATGAGTTGATATCATGTAAATATTTAGTTATGTTCTGGATTCATGAAACCGTAGCTTAGAGTTGTTATATGTTCAAAATGAAAGAATAAAAATATTTATTTGAATGTTTGTTTTGTGTTTTTGTGCTTTCTGCAGAAAAGTTGGGTTTGTGGGTTTCTACACACGCTCTCACTCAGCTGATCTCACACTCCTACAGGGTTTCAACAAATATGCTCTCTTTGTTGTTTTGCTAATTTTTAAGAACTTTATCCTTGATTTCGTGATAAATTGATACTACTTTCTAAAGCTGCAGGACTTTTCCGGCATGCTATTCTATCTGTTGAGTTCAAACTTCTCATTTTTTAACAAGTCCTATTTTCTGCAGTGAAACGTATTAGATGTCAGATTAGAGAAATGCAAACCTAGCTAATTTCTACTGCAGGAAGGAACAGTAGTGTTGATTTGGATATGTGTGAAAAACACAGTAAATGACTTTGTTTAAAGTCATCATACCTCTCTGATGTGCAGCACTTAAAGTTTCCCACTGACAGAAGGAAGGTTTTGTTGTTGTTTGTTGTTTATGTGCTTAGCAGACGCTTTTACCCAAAGCGACTTACAATTTTTATTTTTATTTATTTTTTTTTTACCTATAGGGCATGTTGTGATTTTTATTTTTATTTTTTTTTATTATTTTTTTTAACCTATAGGGCATGTTGTGATCTGTGGGGGAAACCGGAGTACCCGGAGAAAACCCACACATGCATGGGGAGAACACGCAACTCCATGCAGAAAGGCGAGTTTTGAACCTTCGACCTGCGAGGCAACAGTGCTAACCACTGCGCCACCATGCAGCCCATGGTGCACCGTGCTCACCACTCATTTCATTGTCAACACATGAAACTGGGGGCTGCCAGAAACCACCAAACCCCCTGAAGATAATTAGAAAGTAAAACAAATTGCTTTAGAAAAAACCTTTTCCCTTTTCAAGTAAAACATGTTGCAGACTCTGTTTTTACTGGCGATAACATTCTGCCATGATGTGTGAGCCAACTGAACAGATTTTAGAAAGATCTGTAAGCATGCCTGGGGAACGCAAATACCCACATTTCGTCTGGTTCCTGATATTTTTATTTTTCAGTCAAGGCTGCAAATTTGAACCTATTTTGCTTTCCAACTAGAGGCTAATTTCACTCAACTTCAGATTTCAGATCAGCACGAACATATCCAACAGCCAGAAAAGAGAAATGAGATATTCAGCAATGCAAATAAAAATAAACGACCTTCTTAACGTCAAATTTAAACACATTTTATGCAAAATGACATAAAAAGTCAATAAAACACCACATTAATGAAAATAACAAAGACTAAACATTAAAATGATGGAACACTTTCATTATTAGCCGCCAGATGGCAGTATACAACCACAAATGAAAAGAAAAGAGCAGTTCCACGTGATCCTATTTTTTAGACTTCATTATCATGAAAGCTGCATTTTTAGCACATAACAACAACAACAACAACAACAACAATAATAATAATAATAATAATAATAATATAATGATGATAATAACAATAATAATAATAATAATAATAATACTATTAATATTATTATTTTATTTATTTTTTAATAAACATTGTATGCAGCTTCAATACTAAATGTCAGGAGGTGAGTTCTACGCACCATTCTATAAATAATGATGATAACGATGCTTCTAAATGAAGCTGATGCTTCCCATGCTAGATTTGGTTGTCAGGGTGATGAGAGAAAAGCAGAGAGATTTCAATTATTGATGGATTCCTACGTTCTGGAGAAGAGGAGCTTGTTGGAAGGAGGTAGAAAAGGAGGAGGAGGAGGTGGGGGATCACTTCTGTTCATTTGGTTTCCATAGCACCGCCCTCAAGAGAGCTGATGCTTTCATGTTTTAGGGTTAGTGTCCTTGATGTATTATTATTATTTTTGTCTCTTAAATGAATTTAAACTGATAATTCTACGAGGTTTGGTGCAGCGTTCCTATTCATACAGACAAAAGAATTATAAATTGTTTGCTGCAAGAAGTGTTTATATATATATATATATATATATATATATATATATATATATATATATATATATATATATATATATATATATATATATATATATATACACACACACACACACACACACACACACACACACACACACACACACGCAATTAACTATGTTTCCTTTGTCTGTAATAAGAACGCTGCACCAAACCTCGTAGAATTATCAGATAGAGGCAGAATTGACCCATGCTGTTGTAAGAGATGAGTCCAGATGTTGGACGCGGAGCTGCAGCTGCTGTCGCTGACCTCGGTGCTGAACACGACGTCAGATGAACCTGCGCTCTCCACAGGAGACGCCAGACAGCCTCCTTTATTTATTGCATCTACTCCCCCGAACCCGTCTTTCCTCTCCCTCTCCCTCTCTCCCTCTCTATATTGTTACTTTTATTTTCTATGCATTACATCTCTTTGTTTCCCTTTTTTAACGGCTACAGTAAAGTCAGCCTCACGCCGGCTTTTAGTTTTTCACCGTGATGGCACTTTGCGCGGCTGCTGTGGCAGGAGAAGAGCTGCTGCTTCTGCTGCTGCTGGAGGAAGGCGCACAGCTCCTCTGAGTTTCTGTCTCTGTGACAAGCTGCTTTCGTTTGCATTTATATATTTTTTAATTCTCGTCGCGTTTAAAACTAGAGCCGTCGCTTCTCTGGGCTCACATTCTGCACACCTTGTTTGCTGCTTTCCCGTTAGCCGCTGCAGTCGGCCATCCTGCGCTGTGGCACGATGCTGAGGCAGTAAAACACCTCCAGAGAAAACAAGCCGACGTTCAGAAACTGGATATGGAGTCCATCAAGATGAGAGCCACGGCGGGGGTGAAGGAGATCGCGGGGAAAACCCTGGGTCAGATTCACAGGTACCTGCGGGTTCTTTTGTTTTTTATTTTAATCAGAGGGGATAATGTTAAATGCATGCATGCATTTTCCCCAACAACACACGAATGCGTGTTCACCTGTCGCTTATTAGAGTTTTAAAGGCTAATAAGAATCAGTGGTCACGCCTCTGGATGTAGGAACGAAATTATGTAATCTACAGTGCGCGCGTGCATGCGTGTGTGTGGTGTGTGCGGGGTTAGGACGCTGCTGCAGGGGCCTAAGCAGAAGCTGGAGGCCCAGGTTTAAAGTCTCACCTGCACCATGTGACATTTATCATGTTTAAACTGTTTGCCGGATTTGGACAAACACGTTTATTTATTTCCAATTTCCAGGATTTTTTTTACTGCGCAAGTGGGGGAAAAAAGACTCATTTTCATGTTCCCAAACAGCGTTTAAAACGTGATTTATTCATCAGTGTTTGTCTCGAGCTCATGCAACATAAAATAATCTGACATTTCTTAGTTTTATGAATCTTTTAACATTGAAACAAAGGCCTTCCGTTTATTCGCAAGGGTGTTTTCATCATTTTCGATTTAATTTCGATCATCCTGAATCTGTCGCCCAGCTTCCCACTGAACGTGCGCTCCACACGCACCGTTTGGATGAGTTTGCATCCAGAGATTTGCATTTGAAATGCTGGTAGATCTGATTTTCCTGGAGGAAAAATCGGGTTTGAGGGAAGCCCATGCAGCGTCTGCAGGCTGGAGCTGCACGTTCTGTTCCTGAATGCTAATGAGTCTGGAAGTAAGCAGCTGCTGCAATGCGGAACACTCAGGTTTTCTCCTTTTTGGCAGCAAACAAGCCGAAAAAAAAACTCCTTTGTTTTATTCTAACATGTCTCTTTGAGGTATTCGTTTTATTTGGAGTTTTGCATCGGATTTCCTTTCTTGCTGCTTGACTCATACCTGAACATGTGTCCTCAACAAGATATTTGATTGTAATAAAGCGGAAGCATCACTATAGGGTGCTGTGACTTGGTGCTGGAACAAAAAAGAAACAGATATTGGGAGGTTAAAACCTTCAATGAGACAATTTAAACTAAATTATTAACGTTTTATGAAAATTAAATCTGCAGAATGAGATTATTTTAGCAGCCCCGTCCTCTATGGTGTCCACGTCTCTGGTGGACAGGGGTTCCCTGACTTGCATGCTTGTTGCAGGGTGATGGAGAGAAGACAGAAGACCGGAGAGGTGATCGAGCTGACGGAGGATGGGCGGCCCCGAGAGGCCGCGGAGAAGAAACCCCCGCTGTGCGACTGCACGTGCTTCGGGCTGCCCCGCCGCTACATCATCGCCATCATGAGCGGTCTGGGCTTCTGCATCTCCTTCGGCATCCGGTGTAACCTGGGCGTGGCCATAGTGAGCATGGTCAACAACAGCACAGTGCACCAGAACGGCAAGATCATCATCAAGGAGGTGGGACCCCCGGCAGACGCGGCTGTTACGCAACAGTGTGCATAAATCCTGCAGGAATTAGGATTCCGATTTTAGCTCAAGAAACATCTTTTTCTTCTCTCTGGTTATTTAAGGCCTGCTGCTGCATAAAAAGAATCCTACATGAATCATAAGATTGACTGTTTGTGTTCTGCCCTTTAAATAATGTTCAAATGATCACAATTCTTAAAATCATAAAGCAATTTCTTTATTATTTAGATGAAAAATATTCACATCTTATGCATTTTTTAAGGAAATAGACCATACTATAAAAAAACCCACGTCTCCAAAAAGTGTCTCTAAATTATGTGCTGACTGAAAATCGCGAATTTGACTTTAAATTGTGCCTGTTGAAGGTGTTTTGTGCTTTTTCGTTCACCAGAAAATAAACAGAGAGCATCACCATCGTGTTAAAGTCCGTCTCTGTATTTAAATCCTTTATGATTGTATCTTATTATGTTTCATTTATCAGATTATGCGCTTTTATCAAATGTAGAGAAAACCTTCAGCTCTCAGAACAATCCCTTCACTTTTAATGTTTCATGAATATATAAAATGCACTGTGACTTTTCAATGTATTCAAATGTAATTAATTAATTATATTATTATTATTATTATTATTATTATTATTATTATTATTATTAATTTATTTTTTTGTTTTTTTTATGTTCTCCACCAGAAAGCCAAGTTCAACTGGGACCCGGAGACGGTGGGAATGATCCATGGATCTTTTTTCTGGGGCTACATCGTGACACAAATCCCGGGAGGATACATCTCCTCAAGGCTGGCAGCTAACAGGTCTGTGCCCCCACCCCCAACCCCACCCCCCCCACCCCCCCCCCCACCAGTCCCACAAATAAACTCTGATCTGCGCGTTTGGTTGAGATGAAGCAAAATGCTCTGATGATCACAGCTGCTCGTTTCTGGATTTCCTTCCTTTTCAATGTGGAAGGAACTAAAATTCGTGCGTGAGGAGAAAGCTGGGAATAAAACTGAAGAAACAGGACGGCGACAGACAGACAGACAGGCAGTGGGGGGTGGGGGGGGGGGGTGGTTGCAGCTCCATGGTGTCAGGGTTTTCTGCCACCTGTTAATGAGATCCCTGGGGGGAGTGAAAGGGGTGAGGAGGGGGTGGGGGGACTGAGTCTAATCTGATCGTCTCTCTGGACATGGACATCAGACCCGCTCTGCTCGCCAAAAACGCACGTGCCCTGCCATTGCGTCACTCATTTTAATGACGTTACTTCCGCCTCATGAGTTTTTATTTTAGGATTTGGTTTGTTTTGGATCAGTTAGGGAAAAAAACATGCGTCCTAAAGGCCCAAAGCAGCACGTTGTCTCGTGCGCTTTAACCATGAATCAGTAATCAATAAAAGAAACAATTATTATGATTTCCTTTGATCGGAAATGTTTGTGATAAACGGCTCGAACTGCAGCCACGAACAAACCCGATTTCTTTATTCAGTGGATTATTATTTGACCTCAGTGGGTTTGTAAAATGCGCATTTTTTTGATTGGCACGAGAGTGATCGAATCATTTGATCTTGTGCCCAACAATATAATCTCCCACGGATTAGGGCTCGAGCAGATGAGAGGGGCAGGAGAGCATCTTGGCCTTGATGACTTCCTTCTGCCTCGTCACAAAAAAAAACCAAACAATAATAATAAAACACATCTTCCAAACAGATTTTTTTACTGTTATTATTTATTTAATAATAAAAAGCTTATATAACGTCTAAAGTTGTCAAAATACACAAGTTATTCCCAAAAATCACAAGCAGTCTTTTTTCTTCCTCCTCGGCCCTGATCAAATTTGAAATGAACAGATTTTTTTAATGAAAAACGACCCCCCCCCCCCCCCCCAGCAGAGGTGAGAACCGTTGCCAAGCGACAGTGAGACTGTCAAAGAGGCGTTGCTGCTTCAAATATTTATTTCTGTGACGACAAAGGCTGAAGGCCAATCAGAACCTATGCCTGACTTTACTGACCCTGTAGTGTCACTGAAAGAAATCAAAGGGCAAATCTAAATTAAACTAATTAAAACACAATACAACTATATCTAATTGTTTTTTTTTCTCATTGTTTCACGTTTTCAGGGTATTTGGGGCAGCCATTGTCCTCACCTCCACCCTCAACATGTTCATCCCCTCTGCTGCTCGAGTCCACTACGGCTGCGTCATATTTGTCAGGATATTACAAGGCCTGGTGGAGGTAAGGGCATCCAAACATTTGCTTTATTTTATTTTATTTTTTGCAAACAAGGGAAAGTCAGCACTACATTTTTTCTCACGGCTATCATGAACAGAATGGTTGGATGTGTCAGAGCTTTACAGCAGCCTGAGGAAATGTGAGATGAGCTTTATTGATCCGGTCCACTACAGTTTGTAGGACACTCCTGTTCGATACACAACAGCAGATTTTAGACACAGCTCTGGTTTGACAGTGAAACACATGAAACAGCCTGGAATATGTGGCTTAAAGCCACTGTTCTGCTTGTGTTGGCTGACCTGGAGCTGTTTGTTCCTGGGAACAGTTGGGCTGAAAGTGGTCATTCCTGTTAAAATTCCTATGGATTATCATGAATTTATGAAACATGCTGTGATGTAAATTAAATTGTTAGCGGGTTAAATGATGCAAACGTTTCCCCTCAAACAAGAAAATAGTAAAAATGATCAGACCACGAGCACACATCCATGGGGAACTCCTGTTTGGTGTGTTTAGGGAGTGACCTACCCAGCCTGCCATGGTATCTGGAGCAAATGGGCTCCGCCTCTGGAGAGGAGTCGTCTGGCAACCCTCTCTTTTTGTGGTAAACACGATTACCTGAATTAATAAAAGAAATACAGAAAAATCAAAGCTCTAGAACCGAGCGTGTGCTGAGATATGCTCCATGTTCTGTCAGGTTCTTATGCTGGTGCTGTGATAGCGATGCCTCTGGCTGGGATCCTGGTCCAGTACACAGGATGGTCTTCCGTGTTCTATGTCTACGGTAAGGCTGCGATTCAGGGTGTACATAAATGCTTTAGGTAAACGTCGTCAGAGTCTAGTGAAAGTCAAATGGATTTATCCAGTCAGACTCGGTATTGATTTCCTCTCCTGCTGTTTTGCTCCGTCAATAAATAACCCCCCCCCCCATCCTTCCCCTGTAGACTGGATCCAGTCAGCGGTCCTGTCTGGCTGCCGTTCTCTGAGGCGTTTATGGCCAACACCTTCTCCACATGAGGTCAAAACGATGTCCAGCCATGATTATCTAAAGCTCAGACGGGTGCTCTGTTCCTACAGGGTGCTTTGGCATTTTCTGGTACATGTTCTGGATCCTGGTGTCTTACGAGAGCCCGGCTGAACATCCCTCCATCACTGACGAGGAGCGCTGCTACATTGAGGAGAGTATTGGAGAAAGTGCCAAGCTGATGGGTCCTTCAGAGGTGAGAGGGAAACAAGCATCAGCAACTCTGTTGCATAAATCCTCCCACTGACCACATTTGTCGTGATCTGTTGTAGAAGTTTAAGACGCCCTGGAGGAAGTTCTTCACCTCGATGCCTGTCTATGCAATCATTGTGGCAAACTTCTGCAGGAGCTGGACGTTCTACCTGCTGCTCATCAGCCAGCCTGCATACTTTGAGGAAGTGTTTGGCTTTGAGATAAGTAAGGTGAGCTGTGAAGTGATCCTCAGAGGTTTTGGTGCTTGTCTTTGTGTATTTCCTTATACTCCTGCTTTTGTTTTCCTGTTTCTGCAGGTCGGTATCCTCTCTGCCCTCCCACACTTAGTGATGACTATCATCGTGCCCATTGGCGGTCAGCTGGCTGACCACCTGCGCAGCAAGAACATCCTGACGACGACCACTGTCAGGAAAATCATGAACTGTGGAGGTGAGATGACCAAACTGCGGATGAGTTAAAGATTTCCTCACCTTTTCTTCTGCACAGCTACAGGGTGTGACTTTCACGTGTCAGATCCATGCTGATCATCTTCCTGGTGTCTCTTTGTCACCAGAAGAGATGCTTTTGCTCCTAAAAACATCTCTTTGGGCTCCATATCTCAGTGCACTTATTGGTTGTGAAAGGACATTGATCCCATATCTGTCAGAGGCGTAATTGAGTGCGGAGAATGCATCGCGCCTAATTCAATTGGCACCGCGTTGACCAGCAGCCTGTGGGTGTTGTGTGCTCGTGTGTGACCCGTTCTGTCTGTCACTGCTAGGATTTGGCATGGAGGCCACGCTGCTGCTGGTGGTCGGGTATTCCCACAGCAAAGGAGTGGCTATTTCCTTCCTTGTGCTTGCAGTGGGCTTCAGTGGATTTGCTATATCAGGTGAGGAACAATCCACAGTACAGTGACCTTCCAGATCATGACAAGCCTGGAAACATGAAGGTATTGTTTAACGCATTTTTATTTGAGAGTCTGAGCAGCATTTTTTCCCCTTTAGACACCCGATTGTGAATTTTGTATTTTGTCATGCCGTTCACCGAGGACGTAGGAGTCTGTGTGCAGAATCAGTTTCTTGCCTCTTATTCTAAAGCTTCCTCCTAGCTGGAGCTTTTAATAATTCAGTGCTAGCTGTCTCGGGGGGGAAACGCGGGCAGGCAGCGAGTGTGCAGCAGCAGCAGCAGCTCACGAGGGCTCTTACTCATTCAGGCAGCCAGAGTGGGGGGAGGAAGAGAAACAAGAGGAGGAGGATGTGTGGATGCTTATTTTTGCAACAAGATGTTTGTGCTGCTGTTATTTTCAGCTGCATCCAGTTTGGATTTTTATTTTCTGCATTTTGTCACATTGTCTCCCTAAACTTAGCAGCTGGTGAGCCGGTCTTGTTTGTCAGCAGGTTTTCTGATTTTTACAGCTACATTTGCTCCGCTGCACAGGTTTTAACGTGAACCACCTGGATATTGCTCCTCGCTATGCTAGCATCCTGATGGGCATCTCTAATGGAGTTGGGACTCTGTCTGGGATGGTGTGCCCGCTGATCGTTGGTGCTATGACAAAGAATAAGGTGAAGGCTTCTCGAAAAATCATGAAAATAAGTATAAAATCGAAATCCTGTCCATAAAAAAGTCCAAAAAGACGAAGATAACAATTAAGAAAAAGTGACTTTACCCGTAGACCCTCTTAAAACTGTAGGCAGATAAAGAGCAAACAAAATAAAATGTGTTAATGAGGTGCATGAACGGAATTATGATGGCTGGCTTCGTGGCACGTTAGGAATAACTAATTAAATGACTGTATGCTGGTGATGGACCTGGGGGTTTAATGGTATGGAGATTAAACGTGACTCATAATCACCGTCTTGGAGATTGAAGAAATAGCATTAGACTAAACATGGATTTGGTAAAAACAACAAACGTGGACAGAAATGCTTACAAGAACCCAACAGATACCAAAGGAAACTCCAAACAGCAGCTGAGTGGAAATGAGCAACCACAGAGAACACTAAAAGAGGATTAGAACAAAGCAGGTAACAAACATTTGTCACTGCCCAAATCCGTCACCTGGAGCCATGGATGTAATTTTCACTTTAGAAGTGTGTGTGTGTGTGTGTGTGTGGGGGGGGGGGGGGGGGGGGGGGGCACGAGGGGGGGGGGGGGTGTGCGTGTGTGTGTGTGTGTGTGGGGGGGGGGGGGGTCTTTACAGTATACTCTAATGGGAAACAGGCTTTTCCGCTTGGTCCTAGAGCTCAACCAGTGTCAATTTAATATAGTGTAATATTGTTTTTGGATGGTTAAAAAGTGCAGGGGTCAAAACTTGACTTTGGAACAAGTGGGGGGGGGGGGGGCATGTCCCCCCTGTCCCCCCCCAAAAATTACGTCCATGCCTGGAGCAGAGGTGGGAAGTTCTGGCCCTTCAGGGTCTCTTTCTGCATGTTTTAGATTTAGTCTGGCTTCAGCACATCTGACTCAACCCCGCCTGCATGTAAACATCAGCTGAAGCATCTGTTCATTTGACTCAGCTTGAAGACAAAACCTGCAGGACGGTGTAAAGTGTAAATGAACTAAGAAAAGAGGAAACACACAAAACCCTGGTTTATTTAGCTTGTTTTATTCTAAAAACAACTTCACTGAAGGAAGTTTTCCTATCATTTAATACAAAATCATTTAATGCAGTCCAGTAACCATTCCAACACACCTGATGCAGGACAGTGACTATAGGATCACTAGTCTGTTCTTCAACTGGGTTATTCTCAATAACATGTTGAATCGCTGACAACAACAACATGATGATGAGTTGATGCCAGATCCAGCACTGAAGGGATACTTTGCAACTTTTTCATATTTTTAAATCCTTTTCTTGAGCCAGTATGTGCTAAAATGACCTTTTACAGGGTTAAGAAATGACCACCCCTATCGCCGTGTGTGGCAAGATTGTTTCATTTGCAATGTTAGAATTGCTGGTCCATTCTGTTGGACTTAAAAAAAAATTGAGCTAACATACCTGGCGCTGCAGTCTGGTTCTAGCATGTTTTAGATCATGAACACAGCTTATTTGTTTCATTTGGTGATGAATCACTGCTGTAGACATCAGTGAAGATGTTTCAGCTGTTAGATTAAAGCGTTAAAAAGATAAACGCACAGCGATGAGATAGATTTTGGTTTCGGTTCTACAAACGGACACTAGGAGGTGCTCAAAGCAAGCCCAAACTGCACAGTTCCCCTTCTAAACTGAAACTTATTTGTAGCACACACGCTGGAATTAGGACAATATTTTCATTGAAATATCTCAATTATTTGAGGTGTTGAACCTTAATATGACACACTCTACATGATCTCATGAACCAGTAACTCCGTCAATGATTTCATATTTTTCAAATATCAAAAAATCAAAACAACTAAACTCAAAGGCCACCTATACACAAATGATTTTCCTTAGGTAAACTGCTTGTTTAGGTAAGAATCTGCACAGCTGATAACACCATTTCTAAACAATAACAAACAATTGAACTTTTTTCCTTTTAGACTCGAGAGGAGTGGCAGTATGTGTTCCTGATAGCCTCCTTGGTTCACTACGGAGGGGTGGTGTTCTACGGGATCTTTGCATCTGGAGAGAAACAGCCTTGGGCCGACCCAGAGCTGACCAGCGAGGAGAAATGCGGCTTTATCGACGAAGACGAGTTGGCAGAAGAGACGGGCGACATCAACCAGAGTTACGCTGCTTTTGGGGGTCCTGCCAAAACGTACGGTGCCACCACGCAGGTGAACGGAGGCTGGGCCACCGGCTGGGAGAAAACAGAGGAGTACGTACAGGAGGAAGCACAAGAAGGAGGTTACGGATACAGGCAGGACGAGGGGTATTCTTAGACCAAAAAAAAACAAAAAAAAAACACACAAAGTCACCCACGCATAAGCTGACTTGTTTTCCTCTTTGTGCATCAGTTTTAGCCATGAGATTGTCAAAAAATGAGAAAAAGCTACAATCCATTGTTGTATTGTTTGCACAAATTCTACAAATGCTTAAAAAACTAAAAAATTATCAACTCAATGTAAAAATGACCGACATATATGAATATATAAAATAATGATGAATAGAGGTGTAGCGCATATCAAATTGGCAGTAGGTAAATGTACTAATATGCATATTGATAATAGATATATTTATTTGGAGTGCAATTGTGTGTAAACGTGATCATTTTCACTCCATCGGCTGATACTTCCCGTTCACTTTGAAGCCTGCAGGATCAGCTAGAAGAAAGCCCATCAGAGTTGATGGTCATAGGTCAGATTACAGCCCAACATGGCTGCCCTGGAAACACCATCTAGAGCGTACTGTAACTACTGTGTCCTTTCAAAATACGCTTTTGTTTGTTTTCTTATCACTGATGTCTGTCTGTAATTGACCTAGATTAAAGAGGTGACGCTCAACACATGATGACGTTAAACACGCATGATGTCACGCGTCATCACTGCAGTACCCGTGCACGTCTGCAGCCCTCAGCAGAGACTTCGACATCATCACGTTTCACCAGTGAAGTGCAATCACGTTTTTTATTTTACATAATACTGCCAAGTGACCAAAAGTCTGGCTGTTTCAATACAAAAAAAAAAAGATTTGTTTTAATCAAAAATAAAATATTTATGTTTAAATATATAAATATGAATTTATGATTTAAGGGACCATGATGCTAATAGTGAAATATGGCCTTCAGAAAGGGTTTGTGCAATGCTAAAACGATAGGAATTAACAGACTGGTATCGGGATTTGGTCAGATGCAGAAAAGTGAGATAAATATATTTAAAATGCGTTGAAAGTGACGGTTGAGAGTTTTTACACTGAGATTTGTTAAAAAGTGGTAGATGGTTCTCTGAAGGATCTGAGTTTGGAGAATAAATAATGTTTTGAATCAAACTAACCAGCTGAATAACCACTAGTAACTCAGTACATTTACGTGTGCATCTAGGTCGATTTAAAGTAATCCATTTGGAGCCTTTATCCTAGTTCATATTTACGTCAGACACCCAAACTCTCAAATGAAGTCAGTTCCACTCCGGTACAGTAGGTGGCGACATGAACCCGTTGTGTCGACATTCTTCCAGGTTAGCTTATAGCAACACAGATAGTCAACAAATGCCGGCGGGCGTGACACGAAGTTAAAACAGGATTTGCCGAAGGAATGGAGGAGAACAACACTACAGCACAGCTCATTTGGTACATACTGTACCGTTTCATGGTGTTACACGTGTTACTTTGTGGTGATAATATCATCTAGTGATGTGACGTTCATGAACAAATCAGATCTTTTGAATGGGTTTTCAAAGTGAATGATGAGAGCCGAGTCCCTGTAGAGAGCCGTTCATCTTGTCTTCCGGCAACAAACCTCCCCGGAAGTCTGTAAAGCGCACCCGCTCAAACCCCACCCACCGCTCTCTTGGCTTCACTTCGTTCAAAGGAGCCAGTCTTTTAAATGGAAACATACAACAACTATACAACAACTCTATGACAACTTGATTATTATTATTATTCTGAGCTACTACAGCAATCAATTTCCCTCTGGGATTACTAAAGTATTTTTGAATTTAATGGAATTTGAACTGAATTGAGGTAAACGATCGACTAATGAACGGCTCCCATGAAAGAGCCATAAATCCCATCACTAATGTTATGGGAAGACCACTTCCACGGTCTCTTCACTTCCGGAACCTACTGGTACCAGCTCGACTGAGCCGTTTACATGTAGGTGCAGTCGGTTTCCCACTGCATAGGGAGCCAAAGTCACGCCCGTCTACTTCCGCACCATGGGTCCCGGAAGAACAAAAAAATGAACGCAAGTCAGTGAAGCTAAAAACGTTATTTTCTAATTCCGCGTGTTTATTTGCCATGGATTTCACATATAATGTCCGTGAATTGTAAAGACGCATTTTGATACCAAGAAAGCACTTCTTTTCAAACGGGAGACATGTTATTTGGGGTTTTGTGTGAAATAAGAGTAGGACTACAAATGTGCATCACGAAAGTGACGTCATCAAACCAGACACGGGGAAAACTGAAAGAACATGGCTGTAAGTTCAGCAAACTTCAAATGCTTCTTTCAGGAAGAAAGAACCACCATAAATCTCACCGTGTGGTGAGTAGCAGCTACGCTAGGGAAGAGGAGATTATGCGACGTACCGACATCCTATTTGTAGTCATGCTAATTACAAACTTTTACAAACTGATAAATCTCAAAGTATGTGACTAGCGTGGACAAAACACACTTTGTTACTTAATTTTATCAGAAAATAGCTTTTTTAGCCCCGTGGTCTTGCATTTATCATTTTTTTCATTCTTCTGGGGACCCGTGAGCTGACCGGAAAGGGAGGAGACTTAAGATTGGTTTATGCTTGACGCATTTACTTTCCGCTTGGTGATGCGGTTCACGGATGGAACGCGCTTCACAACTTGCAGCGTTTATGGTTCGTGCGGCTTGTCTCTGCGGTGAGCCAATATTTTCCCAAACTGTAGGGGGCAGCATGGAGCTCTATGGCATGCATCCAACACTACACCATAGTAGAAGTAAAAATTACTGTTTACAACATGGCATTCCAGCATTTTTTAACAGCGTCCTCGTCTTTTCCGACAGTGCGAGCTATTTCTCTCCAAGAATTATTAACAACATGTTGATCACGGTGATCTCTGAGAGCTGAATCATACAAATGTCTGTATTTAAGAACCTCTGCCATAACTAGTTCTTTCCAGTCCGCCATGTTTTTCCGTGTTCGACTGTCCGCAAGGTTAGAAAATTTCCTAAGTGCGCGATGCGGAAAGTTTGGACCGTGCGGAGGCGCGGTGGAGGGATGTGGCTGTTAAAATGATGCAATTTAGCCGCACGGAGCCGTGCGAACCTCGCGGACGCATCAAGCAAAAACCAAACTTTAGGCTCCCTATTATCAGGGTGTTTCAGCATGATTAGAACCAGTTCACCTTCAGACTAATGTGTTTACATGCATTTAAAAAAAAGTCCATCTATTTAGTTCAATAGTTTTGTTTTCAGATGCAAGCACTGAGTGACCAAACTGGATAACTACAGTCTTCAATCCAAACATTCTAAAGTGTAGCTCGCGCATCTTTAGTTCATTTCAGATCTTCCAGCTGTTATCAGCTGCTAGCTTAGAGTAAAACTACATGTTAGCATGAACAGATCTTTTATGTTGCTTTAGGATGGCATAAATCCTCTAGCATTTCACTCAAAGTGGCCTTTAGCTCATTAGCTAACTAACCTCAACTTTCCCAAACTGAAATGATTCAAACAACTTTCTACTACAGGTTAAGGCTTCACTTTTCCACATAAACCCAATCATAAAGCTCTAAACTGTCTTTTTTTAAGCAGGGATATCAGTGGAATGAGCCATTAGATGAGCTGGTGCGCATAAAGCTCACGGAAACAAAAGATTTTATAAACATCCAGCTAATCTGCCCAATCAGTCACATCTCTTGATGTCTACGTTTTGAGTATTAACAACCCAAACTTTATTTTTGTAGATTTCTGGTGTATTTGTTTAATTATTTGTGTAACAGAGAAAAGGAAATTGGTTTTGATGTAAAACCTCGTGACAAATGATACTAGGAAAAAAACGGTAATACTTTACAATTAGGGTCCATTAATTACTGTTACTTAATGCATTATTAAGCCTTAAATAAAATATCAAATAAAGTATTAACAACTAGTTAATATTAATGTCAATATTAAGTAATGCATTACTAAGCAGACACACACACCCGGCCCTTTATCCTAACCTTAAGGACACTAAATAGTTATCAGGAACGTTAATGAAGGGAACCTTTGATTATTAATGCTTAATAATGCATTAAGAAATGTTAATAATGGGACCCTTATTGTAAAGTGTTACCAAATATTCTAATGGGGTCTGGTTCTGGTTTCTTTGTTCTCCTTGTGTGAATGCTGCCAACAGCAAATAAAATTTTTTGAAAAGAGGCAGAAAAAATTGTTTTTCTGATTAATCTTTCAGATTAAATATTTCTGATTAATCATTTCTGATTAAACAAAATAATCAAAGTTTCAAACATTCCCAAACAAGCGTTTTATATTTGATTACATCTATGTTGCATAAATAAGACATTTTATTCAGTGTGTGCAATGACTTGTTTTTCCATTAATGAATGGAGAATTTTATAAATCACAATAAAAGACTACTTGTGTGGAATGAAGCAACTAAATCCACCAGGATTACACTTTTTGTTTTCACACCGAGGAGATCTGACGGGGGCCTAAACGTTTAATTGACCACGCTTCTGTGGAGAGCTGTAACGACTAGATTTGTGTGGGTGTGTATTTATGCATGGGACAAGTAAAACGTGTTGTTCGTTCATCTGTTTCCTTTTATTTGGCCTTTTGTCGTTGTGTCAGAAACTGTTACCGTTGTTTCAATTTGTTTGCAACCAAAGGTGAAATCAAGCTTTGTTTTAGCTGAAAGTCCAATAATGTTGAGGCAGAACAGGCCACCAGCAGCGTGGTTCTGACCCGCAGAACCCGCAGCGTGCTCATGGTACCGAACATGACTCGGTGTACAAAGCAATAAACCTTCAGTAACAGCTCTGGTCAAACGTCATGGATGGTTTTTGTTTCACAATTTTTTTCTTTCAAAGTTGTGTCTTTTGTGATAACAAATGTAGAAAAAAATAATATAAATATACATATATACATATATATATATATGTACAAAGAACTAGTAATAGAGTCCAACACCAACGGCGTAGACGTTCGTGCCAGGGCTGCTCACCAGATGAGAATGATAACAAGAGCTCCATCTGAGAGGTGGACGCTCTTCTTCATGTTCTTGTTTTTGTTCTTTGATGTGCTCCTCACTGTGCTGCTGTCCTAACCCGAACCCTATCTGCATTTAGCTGGACTTGTGTCTTTGATTCTGTGGCTGTCACCCCCCCCCCCCCCACACACACACACGTTTCTCCTCCTGTAGAGCATCTCACTGTCACCCTTTTCACCCACATTTTGGATCAAATCTAAACCTGCGGTTTGGACAAACGACCAACCTGAAATAGTGAGACGTTTCCTGTTTTTGTGCCTCTGAAGTTACAGTGTGATTCTATGGCTTCTGTTGCTGTGTACATGGAGAGGTTTGTTGATGTCAAAATGAAATATTCTATTTCTTTTTTGATAAAAAAAAATGAACAGATCCGTGTTTGTTCTTAGTATTTGTACGGACAAGTGCAGACATGCAAAGCATCAGATGACATTAAAGGACGTACGATGAGTGGACGTTGTTTCATGCTGTAAATCTTTTCGTGTGTTTGTTTATTTTTGGACTCACATCCTTGTCCAATTTAATCTATTGTTCCCCTCAGGGAGATGTCTGCCTCCTTCAGTGTTCCACTAAATATTTCAAATGCACAGTCAGTAATGAAGGATCGAAAAAAGCTTCATCACAAACAAATGTGGTCGGAATAGAGCAAAAACTGAACGTTAGGCTTCAATTATTTGTTTTATTGTGAAAAATATCCCAGAAAGCATGAAGGATGAATTCAGAAATGATGTTTTTACTGCAGGAAAGTGCTGCTAAATCACAACAAGGAAATTAAAAACAAGTTGTGGTGATGTCATTAGGTAAATATCCCAGCAGAGCGAGTCTGAGACGCTCCAAAGGCAACAGGAAGTGCTCTGTTAATGGCTGCTCTACTTCCCCATCAGTGAAATCAATGAGGTCAGTCCCCAGAGTTCGGCTGGTCGTATCGACTCTTCTGACCTCCTAATGGAGACGGGAGGGAGGAGGAGCACTTATTGAGCTATTTGATGGTGATTTCTCACCCTTTTTCTTTCTTCCACATATTTTTGATGAACTTTCATCACAGAACCTGAAAATAAACAAAACTGGAAATCAGAGCCTGGAGAAGAAGGCCTCACCTAGAATGAAATCTTGCTCACAATTTGGCAGGATGTGTAAAACCTGTTAGATAAAATATGAAGATGATTATTTTAAATTATAAAAATTGCTTCCTAAAACGTATATTAGGTGATTTCCATCTTCAGTATAACACAAACTGATCATGTCGGTGGCACAGGAGTTAGGTGCTCGCCCCGTAATCGGAAGGTTGCAGGTTCGAGCCCCCGATCAGTCTGTCGCTGTCGTTGTGTCCTTGGGCAAGACATTTAACCCACGTTGCCTGCTGGTGGTGGTCGGAGGGACTGGTGGCGCCAGTGCTTGGCAGCCTCGCCTCTGTCAGTGCGCCCCAGGGCAGCTGTGGCTACATCGTAGCTCATCACCATCAGTGTGTGAATGGGTGAATGACTGATTGTAAAGCGCCTTGAGGGGTTCCAGGATTCTAGAAGGCGCTATATCAAATACAGGCCATTTACCATTTACCATTTTTACCAGATTAGTTGATATTCTTTGAATTATGTGATGAATAAACTCACAAAATCTAATTATTTACTATAACAAAATACTCAGAATATTTACTTTTTCACTCAATGAACTGAATATTTATTAGCTGGTAGTTACTTTTAAATGTTTTATTTATTATTAAAGCAGAAAGAGGATGAAGAGTCCAGCGGCAGCGGCAGGGTGCGTCTGGTCAGTCAGCTGTTTGATTCTCTGCTCTTAGAAATAGAATAAGCTCTGATAAAAGTTCTTCTGAAGTCTTGAATCTCAGTGCAGTTTTAACAGGTCCTGGTGGAGGGGTCACGTCTCAGCTTGGATCGTTCTGAATGATCCCACACATCAAATCAAGTCAGACCTTCACGTCTGTGTAGGGAGATTTGTCTTCAGGGCTGTAATAGCATCTTTTTTGGTAATGCTACACACATCACAACAGACACGGTCCCTACGCTCCGATCACAAGGGAGGAGACCAACGTGTGTCCCATCGTTTTAGGCACATCATAAAATAGTAATAATAAATACAAGTAAGAAAAAATGAGGATATTTCTGCTGCAGCTGCTTTATTTTTAAAGCATTACAATGCACAATTTCTCCGTGTGCACCGTTTTACTGCAAGCTTGCAGATCTGCACATTTTCTTGTTTGTGCATCATGAAATGTGCAAAAAATAATAAGCAGCACAGTGCAAATGCTATTTTTGTTTTTTGTGATGCTGCTGCTGTCTTTGAACCAGTCCCCTTGGGTCATTCACTATCTACACAGCTAAACTATTAGTCCTAATATTTTAATTAATTACTGTATTTATTGTGTTTTGTGTATATTTGCAAAGTCATTTTATTTGAAATTACAGTTTCAGTGAAATAAACGTCACACTTCATTCTCGGCGCTAACAAGCCGGGCTGATGTCAAGCCGCACTGCAGGGGCTGTGAAAGCTGAAGGTGACTCAGAGATCTGTGTCTGATTGATGCAGAACTCCAAGATCAGGTGATGGTAAAAAAAAATACGTGTGTGTGTGTGTGTGTGTGTGTGTGTGTGTGTGTGTGTGTGTGTGTGTGTGTGTGTGTGTGCTTATTGTGACTCTTCTCCTGTCTCAGTTCACTGCTCTAGTTAATTTGACAAGCCCAATAAATGTGTTACCAGTCAACCCTAAATGGTGTTTTCTCACAGTCAACCAGGCTTAACCATCATGCTGCTCTGGTACAAGAGGGGGAGGTGACCCGTAACCCTTTCTGACCGTCAATCTTTGAAAAAAAAAAAAAAAAAAGAAAACTTGCAGATGCTTTGCTAAAACAAAACGAGAAGAGAAAAACTCAAGTTGATTTCCTGCAGAAACGAGCAACTTTACACATTTACGTTTGCATCATACATACATGCATACATGAATCCAGCATGTGGATGTGCGACAGCATGGATGCTGAACCAGAGAATGAGTACGCATATGTTGAGCATCTTAAGTGACTTTTCAAATCTGGGTGGGGGGCAGGTGCGTGCAGCCTCCAGGGATCTGAGGGAGGGGAAGCTGACACCAGAATCAGTCTTTAATGACTCGGGGAGGGGCTGGGACCATATTGGTGCTCTGGTCTCTGAGGTGGGGCTCATAAATAAGGACCTGATTTGCACATTTTGCCTGCAGCACCTCTGAGCGGGGACGCAAGATGATGAAACATCATATTGATTTAAAAGCACAGCGATCACATATTAATCCAAACGCTTGAACACATTTCAAACACTAGACTACCACCATTAAAGCCGCTCCTGTTTTTCCTTTCGGGATTTAAAACAGTAAGCTCGTGCTTTCTGAAGTCACACACACCCACATGTGAGCTGTCCATGGTGCTCAGTGAAGGATCAAAGCGTGGCACGGTCAGAGCATAGATGTGCGGAATCCAGATGAGACCACTCTTCGTTCAGATTCCATTCTACAAGCCACACATCTGCACAACCTCTGGGTCACAATTCCCTCACAACAGAAACCAGACTAGAGTGGATTGGTTTGGAACACTTAGAAAGTTCCACCTCCTGCACAAGTCAGGGAAGCATGATTGGCTCTACACAATGGACTTTAACACTATAGCCACCGCTCTCCTCCTCCTCACACCTACCTTCCTTACTCATGTGACTCCCATCACCGTGACAGGAAGTGCGTCATCAGTTCGTCACGAGGGAGAGCCTCTGGGGCGAGGCGAGCTAATATTAGGAAACCATAAAGTGTCCTTCGTCTGACAAAAATTAAACACAAGTTATGATGCAAGACTGTGTGCAGAGAGCTGAGAGATCTGCAATCTACTTAACCTCGACCTGTGGTGGACCAGGCACAATCCAATATTTACAGCTCTTGATATGAATGAGCTGCGCTTGTTTTCTTCAAAAAGGAAGCATGCAGTCATTCAGAAAAAACGCCGCCACATTTGGACAGACGATGGCAGAAATAAGGTTAATTTCGAGATACTGTAACAAATTCTTCAGGGTTTGTTGTTTTTATTCTTGAGATAAACTAAAATTTGCAACTCAAATTGATTCTTAACAGAGGATTACATGAGACGAGGGAGGAGAGAGGATGCATTTTTCTCCAGTTATTGGCGCTGAGGCTAAAGTCTATTTATGTGCACGGACATGCACGCTGGCAGGATCTTATTCAGCCTCGTCTCTTAGTGCCCCGTCACCAGATGGGAGCTGGCAATAGATGTGCGTGTGTGAGCGCACGTGCGGCGGGGTGAGGGAGGGGTGTTCCCTAAACCCCGAGCATCAGGCTTCCTTTTGTCCTTCTCCCCGTCCCTGATGGCTTCACAGTGGGGTGACAAACACGCTCCAAATCTCATTAAAAAGTGAGAGATGGGGGAGGGGTTTCACTGTGACACACTGATGCATCTATTACAGCATTTTCTACATGAAACATAAAAAAAACAGAACTACACCCGTTTTTTTCTGATGTTTTATTGATTTGATTTCATCTCCACTTCATGTCCACCTGATTTCCTGTGCTGCAGCGATGCCACACGTCTGATAGAGAGCTCCTGCAACAGGAACAGGGTCAGTCTGCTCTTTTGTTAGAGCGAGGTGTCCGTACACCCACCCTTATCACCGGCCACGATCAATCCATCCACCACGGCTGTCACTTGTGTTCAACAATAACAACCCCGATAAAAACATTTGATAAACACTCAGTCTGCTGAACAGGCCTCTTATTATCTCAAGTTAAACTATTTACTGTAATTGCCCCTGCGAATGGCTCGGCACCAGCCCCTTTTGTGCATCCTGCAATTTACCCATTAGGGTTGGAGATTGCTTTAAAATTGCCGGCAATTACTTCTCTTGTGCAGCAGAAAGCACTCTGAGTTTGCAAGCATGCGTCCAGACAGTCAACCTTTGCTGTTGTTGCTATTAAGCTAATTTTAACAAGAAGATAATGGTGCAGATTTGCATTTCATGAAGCTGTATGTTTTGTGCTGCTGAGTGATAAAATATGGATATGAGATACTTTAAAGGGCTGAGCCAGTGAGAGAAGACACTGTGGGGCAGTTGTGTGTGGGAGAAAAAGGGTCAAACAAAAAAATGGGATAAAAAAAACAGCAGACGCTGCCTCTGATGTTTGCTTCAAAGAGATCACAGAAGAGTGTCATGTTTTCACAGGAGAACCAGAAATGCAAAGCTGCAACTCATGCTAGTTTTACCAGGTTGAGCTAAATAAAGATTTATTGTCTGGGATTTTTTTACCGATAGAAAAAAGTTAATTGTTTTAAACTGATTCACAGTAACAGCTGAGCACATAATGACAATATCTGTTTCATTTCTTAAAAGATGCGTGTGATGTCACTGTGGACACTTTTTCCCCTTTACCAAATGTTTCAGAGTTAGATTTGATTTCCAGAACATGAATTCAA